GCAAGACCCTGTCTGTTCAAAATTTAAAAATTATGTGGGTGTGGTGGCACACACCTATATTCCCAGCTACTCGGGAAGCCAAGGCAGAGGGATTGTTTGAGCGCAGGAGTTGGAGGCTGCAGTGAGCCGTGATGGCGCCACCGCACTCCAACCTGGGCCACAGAGCAAGACCCTATCTCGAAAAACAAACATCAAGAAAGGTACTTTCTACGGTAATGGTCTAATGCCTCTGGTTCCAGCATGTCCTAAGATAGTTGCATTCTTCTAAGAATTCCATAGAGCAGTACTGCCCAAACTTTGCATATCCACTGTTTTTTAAGTATATATGAATTAAATGTCAAGCTGTAAATTAGTAAATATAGCCTTTTTTTCAAAACTGACATTTTCTTCCCATAGGTAAGTATAGTTTTGTGTACTTGTAGGATCTGTGTACCCAAATTTATAGTATACCATTCTAGAAGTTACTTAAGAAAACTGCCTCAAGTTTTTTGAAAAGGAAAATCATGTAGTTATTAAAGTATTCTCTGGAGAAAACATCTTAGTCAAACAAATAGCAAAAAAACCCACAAAATTTGTTTTTATTTATGACCATGATTATTTGTTCTATGCCTTCATTTTCTTTTTTGGAGTTTAATACTTGCTATGCTTGCCTACCAAACTATCTTGATTAATATAATTGTATTTTTATAGCTTGCCTGAGTTTCTCAAAAAGGTGTACATCAAACTTTTGCTTTGAAAATACAAGCAATAAAAATATGAAGACTAGCAGTCCTTGGAGGAAGGAAAAAATTACAGGTTTATCTGAGTTTTGCTAACATGAAAAACAAAACAAAAATGAGGTCTCTGAGGATCTCATTTTAATAACAGTAACTAATGTAATTTTTTAAAGTCAGTTATTTCTGATATGAAAATATTGTATTTTGGAGCTCTTTCATTTGTCACATCTACTTTAAATATATTATTTATTCATCACGTGCATTTTAACTTTTCAAAAAATGGTTTATGGTTTACTACTTTTGATGCATACTAAGCTACTTGATAGTTTGTCATTTTGTCTAGTATCAATTTATACAAATTGAAATTGTATTCTGTGGGACTGGGACTGTTTAGGGAGAATGCAGTGAGGTGTTAGTGGTGGTAAAACAGGATATAATGGATTTGGCTTATTGAATGGCATATGAGTCTGTTAGTTGAGGTTGCAAGGAGGGATCTACTGGAGTCTGGATGCTCCCATTTCCCAGCTCTAGCAAGTCACTTAAATATGAGACACTGAGCCTCATTGCTAATAGGAAAATTTGTAGAGTTACAGTTGGAGAAAGCTTAGGAGTGATGTAGTCCAAGTGAACTAACCATAGTTAAATATCAAATGAACTAGAAACCTGTTGAATAGCTTATAAATGTAAGGATTCACATCTGAAGATGTGCACTGACTAGAAGTAATATTTATAACTAGGGATGGCATATACATTACACAGAGTAGACTAGCTCCCCTTTTGACTGTCACGTTTCTGTGATTCTGAAGAGTAACACTCTGCTCCAGATGTTTCACAACAGGCTATTTATAAATGTTCATTGAATTTTTGAGTAGCTACTGTGTATTTAGCACTGTGCTTATCTTCACAAAGAAAAGAATGTTAGCATCCATTCCTTCAGATCTAGAGGGGGGTTATCAGACTACTAGACATGAAACAGTAAACGAGAACCCCAAGTAGTTCACAACCCAATGCAATGTTTTACTAAGAGCAAATTGAGATGTGAGATTGGATTACACATGGGTAAGATTTGTTTAAGCAGAGTGGTGAGCAAGGTTCCCTAGGTGGGAACATTTAGGAACAGATGGGACTGTGCTTATAAACTTGTGGAACAAGACACCAGTCCAGAACAGTGTGTGTGTATTAAATAATGTTGAAGAGATCTGACCAACCTAATGTAAATCCAAATAAGCCAATTTTCCCAGCAATGTAAAAAAGTCTTTGAAATCGGCAACCAAGAATAAGTATCCTGTGGATGCCACATGCTTCTGATGAGCTGGCCATGAGTTTAATTCCTGAGGATTTTCCAGCCTCATCAGAAAGCTAGTAGACAAGCATAAGGAAAAGAGAAAGGGCTGTATTCCAGTTCCAGGCAGGTGACTGTATGACCTCAGGCATATTTGTACTTAACTCTCAGAGACTTGATTCTGTTGTTTACCATGAGGATAAGCAAACCAACCTTGGCTTTTATGAAATTCAAATGAGACAAAACATGTGAAAGTGGCTAAAACATGAGGCATTCAACAAATGTTGATCCCTTTTTTTCCTCAAAGTGGCTCTCATCCTGATCCACAAAAGGGCAGGTTAAGGGGTTGAATCCTTTAACAAGGTTAAATATCTTTTCTGATGTATATTGATGTAATCCATATATGCAGTGTTACTTTTCCGGTACTATGTGACCTCTCAAGTTACACAGTTTACATGGCATTGTTCATTGTATTTAGTTTAATAAGGAGATGGGAGATAAAACTGTTGTATTTTAAGGATAAATGCCTTATGTACACTAAAGTTTAGAGGTCCAAACACTACTACCACTAAATGTTTTTACAAGGTTGATAATTACTTTGAAACTAAAGTAAAACTAAAATGCCTTACACTTTTTCTTCCAGCATGCTACAAATGAAAACTGATGAGAAACTGAATGTGTCTGATGGGAATACAGCAAGTTGCCCTTTGAGCCCCATTAAGATGTGCCTTAATCGTCCCATTGAATGGAATCTGAATTTGACAACAGCATCTCTAGTGAGCTGTACAGTTCATAACCAAAATCTCAAAAGTGAAGAGAAATAGATTGCAGTTCTTGCACTATCTTTATTTTGTATGTCAAAATTCCTTCTGAACAATAAGCATTTATCAATTGATCTTGAAGTATTTCTAGTCCTGTGATTTGTCTTTATATTAAATCATTAGCATTAATCATTTTGATTATATTCTTTATATGTTTTTATATGTTTTACATCAGATCATTGTGGAATTTTGTAGTATAAACAGATTTTGATGTTTCTCTTTTTAATAGTATTATGTGAATTTTTAATGCCCTAAGTTTAAATACATAATTGTCCCCAGTTTTATTTCTGTGCACAAAGTTTTAATATATAATACATTGTGATTTAGAAAGCTAGTATTGTAAAGATTTGTGATGATGACCTGACCCATGAGCAATTGTAAAACAGTTGGATACCAACTACCTCGAAGCAAAATTGGTTAAAGAAAAGGCAAAGGTATCTCTTAGAAGTAAATCTCCTTCAAAGTTATAGATGTACACAAGAAAAAAGTTGATCATAGCTTATCATTGAGTAGCATGTTTCCATTCACAGGTAAATTTGAGCTGATCAGATCTTTCTCTGTATTTTAAACCTATGAGTCTGTGGGCTTTAAGAGCAATGGTACAATTGCATGTTTACTGTTCAGCAAATCTGTGCCTCTTGTTAGAGAAGAATACTATTTGGTTTCTGTAAGTTACCAGTTTTGAATGAAAAATGGTAAATGGATTTACATCTGTTTTATTGTACCTTAGCCTTTTATTTTAAAGTTTAAAGGGATGACTTTTAGAAGCAGGATATTCCCTTACCTTTAACTCTAATAGTGCAAAGGACAGTTTCAGCAATGGCTACATGACTGTGTCTAAAAGCTGAATACTCAGAATACTAAAAAATTCGGTGCTTAAATTCATTTTTCCCATGCCAGAGAAAGCAAGCTTTGGTAAGGTGAACCATATGAGAACATGGCTCCTTTCTTTTTGGATGACCTAGCCATGTGTGAATGGGATTTTAGTTTGTTATATTTCTAAGATGTTTCCTTGTATCACATTTAATGTACCTTTTCAGTCCTTCTTCCAACCCCCTGCAAATTATCTTTAAAATGACAACACATAAGGAATTTAAAGCACAGGACACAGAGCCAACAAACAGAATGAAGAACAATCATCTATTTTTCATTGACTTTCTCGCATTACCAATTTTCCTGTTGCTTAGTAAGTATTCTTGCTTTGTAACTTTGACTCCTTTTATAAGTTGTATGAAGCATATAAGTATAGCAATGTAGTTCTAAAAACCAGTGATTGATCTTTAGCTACATCTTAGAATTTCACCTTAAGTAAATGGCCTCTAGTAAATAAGCCTTTAAAAAGCACAATTATTAAAACAGATCCATGTTAGGACATTTCTGAATAATAAAGCGAAAAGGCGTTTTGTTGGGTACTACAGAAAAAGAGGACCAATTTCATACAGTACAAGTTTCATAAGTCAGGCCAAGTGTCAATTTCAAAAGACAATAAATGAAATTGACAGTGAATAGTGCTCATAAATTCGTAGAGTATATACAAGAGAACTTCCTGTCACATTATTTTCCCACTAGAATTATCCACAGTAAATATTGTTATGCCAAAAATACAGAGAGCAGCTTCATGGTTAATATACATTTATGTGGACACCTCCCTAACCCAGGAAACACTCACAAACAAGGACTCCCATATGCAAATACTTTAGGAACAGACTTCCCAGGCAGATAGCATCATCAAAACTGTTTTCACTGTAGGAATCACAAAATAAGATTGTCAAAATAACTGTTGAACGTTATACTGGTCTTCCTCACTGGTGACAAGCTCCTTTCTAGCCAGTTTGTGGTACTTCATTTTCCCTTGAAATGTTACTTGTTAAATGTGTCCTGAGGCGGTTTCATCTTTGTTGGTTCTAAGTCATAAGCTTCTCAAATGCAAGATACTAGCTAGTGATACTTGAAAGTTTTCCATAATGCCATGATTTAAAACATAAAGAGTTCTTGAGAATCATTTGGAGAGCCTCTTTAAAAACGAGATTCCTAGGCCCACCTCAGATTGTGATAAATCTGTGTGACTAATGCAGATGGTCTCTGGACTATAATAACTGATGCTGTCCTAATGCTTTAATACAGGCCAAAGTAATGTGGAGGCACACAGCAGAAAATCTGAAAGTCATCACGTTTTTTCTAATTTTGACAAAGGTAACTTTATTAAAGCAAGTAACTGGACATAATTTTAAAGGATTCCACCTCCATCATCTTTTCTAACTCACATCTTCATTGAGAAATTGTGCAAGGTTAAGTTTACTTTTTTCTAACGCTGCTGTTTTGGCTCGTCTTGGTAGTCTCATCTTCATTTCTGATTCTGGTTCTGGAACTTCATGATCACTAGATGTTGAAAATACATGAATTTAGATATAAGTTTTAAAACCAGCTAATTTATAAATAAAACGTTTTTGTTTCTGACTCACATTCTATCAGTGTGTAATTGATAGCCTGATTCCATTGACTTAGCTGAAAACTAAATTCTCAAACAATATCAAAAAACACTGACTTAGCTATTCAGCAAAGTAAATCATGGCAAAACTTAGGTAATGATTTAATATAGTATAAGGGAACCTGGTGTTATACAGGAAAAAAACCCACAAACTTGTAATGAAGCTTGTAATTAAACGAGGACCATAACTGTCCAAAAGAGATTTCTTTGAAACTCAAGAAGTGGAAAAAAAATTAAGTTCTCTTGATTTAAGCAATAAATTTTGAAAACACAGTAAAAAACAAGTTTCCCCTTAAAATACACTTGAATTTAATCAAGACAGTGTAAAGATACATACTGAAAATACAAATAATACAATTTTGCCAATGAATACAAGACAGCTACCAACTTTCAACTCCTAACAGTGGCTTGACAGAAGTCAAAAATAAACACTCTAACACACAATATATCCAAGTTATAGACAGAAGTATTCTATCATTGTAAGTATAGAGAACCCAATTATTATCAAAATCAAGAATTTGTTAACTAAAGATCAAAGAGGAATCATATATAGTCATGTAATTAGAAACTGAAACAACATATTAAAGGCAATACTAAAGACCATGCCAACTAATAGGCAAAAGCAAACAAGCCATAAGTCAAATGCTCTTGATAATGGAATTTTAGACTATATACCCAAAACGGCTACTTTTAGTTTTCACTATCTTGTTATATATTTTCTCTCAATCACAAGAAAATTAGTTTGTTTCTACTTCTAGACATAAAAAGTGAATATAGGCCTTTATTAGTCTAGACATGCATGACATACCTTTCAGAATCAGCCTCAGCAGTCTGACGTCTCCTGTTTGTCCTAGCTGAAACTGTCACTTTTCTTTGTCCTTGAAGACAGTATAATTCATTATCAGAATTTATTATCAATTGCTTATTATTTTTAATCTGATTTCCAGACTAGCTAAATCCTTTGATTTCAACACAACAATCCTTTTCAACACATCTATCTGCTACTTGTTCTAGCCATCTTGGTACCAGTTATCACGACCACAGAAAAAGGAACCCAAGCAAGATTAAAACTTAACTTCTTATGTAAGCACTAATAATGAGTAAGGGAAAATGAGGAAATTTCAAACAAGTTATAAGAAGGCAAATATTAGTTCTATGTATTTAAGGACAGTATATAAAAACTGTGTTACCATAAAGTGCTTCTATTATGCTATAGCACAAAGTCTATGGAAAGACTGTTGAAAATTAGGGGTTAGAAAGGTAGGTTAGGTGCAGAAACAGGTGCTAAAGAAATAAAACTTTTTTTTCTTGAAAGGTGATGAAAAACAAATAGAACAAACATTAATTAGTAAGGTAATAATGGCTTATTATAACATGTACATAACCAATTCAAGTATGTGTTCTAAAATATAATATTTCAATGTAAAAACAAGAACCTTTATATACTGGGGATTATAAAGATTCTACTTACTAGAATTTTACAAGGTTAAGGAGTAAGACAAAGTTTGGCTTGTGATGTTTCTCATTTATAAGAAATAAAACAGTATGAATACATGAAGTTTGGTCTATTAAAAAGGATGGAGTTCTCATTGTGTGATATACAACAAAAAATAATCTGATCAAAACCAAATTGTTCAATGTGACAGTCTGTTTGAAAATTATATACTCTACTTCATTCATGTTACACTTTTTTTTCCACTCCTTAGTTGTTTTCACTAATGCGTTTATCCCCAAGAAAACATCCAACAATATGGGACTAATTTGGAACAATATCCAGCGATTCGTATTTAAATAATTTATTGGTTACAAAACAATATTATGGCCAGACTCCATTTCAGACAAAATTAAATCTGCATCAGAAAGGGCCTTAAAAAATAGATTTCTAAAATTAAAATCATGGTTGGCTCATGGGTGGGATTATTAGTGTTCTTTGTAATAGTTTGCCTGGATGTACTTTCTGATTCTTCTGTAATAAGCATGCACTGCTTTTGTAATAAGGAAATAATAAACCAATGAAAATATCTTGAATTTCAGATTTTTTTCCAAGTGATCCCCTAGTAGTCAGCATTTACTTTACCAACAAATCCCCTATTGTTGGATAGCCCTTGGGAAATAAGTTGGGAAAATATGAAATAAGATGGGAATAGAAGGAAAACAAAGCCCAGAAAAATACTACAGGGATTTTTTTTTTTTTAAATGTTTAGTTAAATGAAGGATACAACACAAATAACTAACAGAAAACCACCATTTAACCAAATCTTAATTCAACCCAAATTGTCCTTTGTAATATGATCTTTTGCAGCATAATTCTTTCAATCAAAAGCACCTAAAGCAACGCTGATTCTATAATCTTTAGACACACGGCAAAAACTGACATCAACTGAAAGAATTAAGGATGCCGAAGACATTTTAAAATCTTTATTCCTAAGGAAACAAAGATAAGAAAACTTGCAAAACAAGTATTTTTCATTGGAAGATAAAATTTTAAACTTTTATCATAAAGATGGTCAATCCATACACTACCTCTGTTAGTCTTTTGCTGAGTAGATTTTGATGCTTGGGTTGCTTTTACACCTCTCAGAGGAGTCATACATACTTCTTTATTCTTTTCTGTTAAAGGGAATAATAAAACAATATAAATAAGATAGCTTCATGAAATATTTTAAATTGTGTTTTTAAGTCCAGTTTTTAAAAAACTGAAATGATACAGTTCCTCTAGCAGCTAGTGAAAAGTTATAAATCACCCTTTTGAAAATTTAAATACTGGAAAAGCAAAACTCCTCAAAAGATGGTCATTTGTTGAGAAATGCATGCCAAAACAAAACTTGAACAGTAGAATAAAAGCACAGAATCTTATAAATATTCTGGTCAGTATGTCATTACCATCTTCATTTTGAAAAATAGTTGTAGTCAAGCTGGCATCCTGTGTCGCTTCAGCTTGGTCACCAAATTCTTTATTTTCTTTTTCTAATTGAACCTTGATTTTCTCCAAAGCTCTCAGACATGTCCTATCTTTTACTTGCTATAAAAGAAAACATTATTAACATTTTATAAACATAGCATTTCCTATCATCTTTGAAAATAGTACCAATACATATCAAGTTGTTTAAAAACACTATATGAAATTTATGAAGAAAATACTTCAAATAAGTCACAATGTGCTAGCATATGTATAGTTTAATACAGCCATGTAAATTCTACATTTATAAACACAAAATAATTCAGCATATATTAGAAACTACTTTACCTCTAGAATCTCATTCAATAGAACCAGAAGATCTTTTGCAAGATGGCTACTGAGTTCTAAAGAACTCAAGGCTTTTGTATAGACTCGTAGTTCTGGTGAGCACGGACTTGTTAAAATCTCATTGCAAATTTTCATAGCCAAATTGTCATGTACTGTTAAGGCCTAGAAAATTAAGAACAAATTCTTTGTAAAGTGAAAATGATTATGATTATAATATAGTCTTATACATCTAATAAACATTTCCAATTAATTGTGTTGCCATATCCCAAATATAAAATGTCTAAAGCCAAATTTAACATTCCGCCACACCCCAAAATAAGCTCCCCTTGTTGACTTCTTGTAGTGGATGCTGTGATATAGGGCCCAGTTCTACTCCCTTTAGGAAAGAAGCACTCCTTCCCCAGCTGCTGCACATTTTGGAGGGTAAAAGTTTCCAGCAGCAGTTCTGATATAGGCTGATGACACTGTACTTCAGTGGACCTTGTCCAAGGTTATACCTCTTCTCCCAAAGATTAGTCCAATTCCAATGACTGGCCAATGCTCAGGTACAATGTCTCAGCTTGTCTCCATTCTCAACAACTCAAAGGAACATCCCAGTTCTGGAATTCCCTATGTGATCGGCTGGGGCCTTTGCTTGCACAGCAGTAGATGAACTTAGTGCTATGCCCCAACTTACTTTTCCCTCACTCTTCCAAGATGCTAGTCATGAGAGTACTCCCCAAGTAAACTGTCAACAGCACCTTTGAAGACTGCTGTTACACACACTTAGAGTTTTCCTGGAGTCCATCTCCCTTGCCTCTCAAGCTCTTTCTTTTAGGTTCTTGTACCCATAATTGCTTATTAGCTCAATTTCTATTCTTTCTACTTTATATTATTACTTTCTAGTACTTTTTCTACAAGCTAATTATGCAGCTCTTCGACTGCTTTCTTTATTAATATTCTTTTCTTTCCGCTCACCAATTCATCTCACGTAATCATCACTGACCACAAAATTAATCTTTCTAATAATTGGTTTTCATGACATTAACCCTTTCATCACAAGCCCTGCATAGTTAATCCATTGCAAATAGGGCCAACTCCAAATTTTCCACATTGACCTTTAAAGCAATCTATAATCTATCTCCAATGTTCTGCCCTAACAGTCCTATTCAGGATCCTTAACCAAAATAATCCTTCTACACTTCCCCAATATCTGCATAACCATCTACATATATCACCTTTACTAAAACATCCTTCCTCTACCCAAACCACTCCCCAAATCCCAACAAGGCCTAACTGAATTTTGCTCAATGAGTTTTAAAACTAATGCTGTACTCATCATTCCTACCACATGACTCTTGCCCTTGTCTCAAGTCATAAAGTGCTTTAATAGCTCTATTACTGACCCTTACCTAATTTTGCCTAATATCCTTTGTAATCTTTCCAATAATATACAAAATATGACTTGAACAGAGTTGCCTATCACTAAATATCAAACAACAAAAAAAGAGTAATACTTTCAACTTAATCAGTTAGCATCTGAAATCACTAATATATTAAATTTCAAAAGTGGTAACAAGTTTGACCAAATGCCATTAAAGGATTTTTTAAAACCTGCATAAGTTCACTCTGTGAGTCAGTGTGCAATTGATTTATCTTCTTTGAATTAAAAGCCAAAAAAGCTTCAGGTGAGTTCTATTCTCTGCATTGTGCTTCCTTGTGCCAAAAGCATAGCAGGTAAGCCAACATTTGAAGACTCAGTAAGTCCTAGATAACATAGGTTATTACTTCAGATTAACAGTCAGTACTAGGTAGGGAAGAGCATGGTGGGGGTGGTGAATTTTTAGTAACTTCTTTTCAGTAGCAAAAATGTTAGCACTGATTTCTGTTTTCGTATGATTTCTCCATATTTCCCAGGGTCTTGCTTTTTTGTGCTTTGTGTTATATGTTTGAGACAAAAGTCTAAAGATCAAAATGCAGTTCCTCGTATTTCAAGGGGTCTTTAAGAGACATTATTTTACCAAAACAGTGATCTGCACGCAGTTATCATCCTCACTCACCTGATAATCTTGAGAAATCTTGGCTTGAGGATTTAATCTACTTGGTCTTGTCAAATCTACAAGTAACTCAGCAACATTTGTGATATCAACTTCAGCTAAAGGAGAAGATGCAGGGGCATTGGCCAGTGTTTGCAGGGTTGGAAGAAAAGCTTCTTCAAAGCATTCCTGATTAGTCCTATTGAGAAACAAATTGAAAGTATGTTGACAGGACATTATTTGATGAGAGAAAAAGCATGACTCTAAAAACTGTTATGTATGAAATTCAAAAATTTTATGTGTAAAATTTGCTCATCAAGATAAAGTACATTTTCATCTAGGAAAGAGCCAACAATTCAGATAGATAAAATCTATATAAGTTATTGTCATTTCATCATGTATCCACTAAAGATAGAAAAAGTACCAACAACAAAATATTGTTATAGATATAATTCATGAGGGACCAGAATTTGATGTCAAGTCAGATTTTGATTTACTCCTATGACTCAATACCTGCTTGCATAAGCAAACATGGGGAAGAACACGCCTAGGCAATGTCGAAGTCGAACATCCTCTTCAGTCACAGGATTGTACCACAACAAAATAAGACGAGAAAGAATCCTGCTGCTGACCAAAAGCCCAGAGAACATCAGCTTGGCTAGTCCTTCCGCAGCTCCAGTCCTAAGTTCAGATACCTAACAAAGATGACATTCATTAGAAGAAATTTATTTGTATCTCCTTTTTAAGCCTCACAATGTCGCTGTTCTACAATATTTTTATATGAATCATCCAAAAATTATTTGTGTTATTACCAATTCTTTAAAGGCACATAAAAAGACTGTTTCTTCACAGCTAGACTAACAATTTAAACAAATCTAAAAGACTGGGAGACTAGACAAATGCTTACTCTAGCCATGAAAAATTCAATTTTCTTAAAACATTTTTAAAAGCACCAAAAGCTTTTTATAACTATTGGAAAATAAAAATCAAAACATATATTTAAATGCTTAGTGTTTCTAAGACATAGAAAACTCCCAGCAATGGCGCCTGACATTAGAGGAAGGTGCCTATCTATAAGCGAAAGCTCCATAGGTAGGAGTGGCAATTTGTCTGAGTAATGGGTAGAATGTGAACAGAAGATGTAGAAGCAGAGGGCATTCCTAGAAAGAGTAAACAAAAACAAGTCTAGAGAAGACAAAGGAAAAGACAACTGGATGTACACAGCCAAAACAATGAAGCTGGACCTTAGACCACATAAAAATACTAACTGAAAATGCATCAACAGCCTAAATATAAAAGCTAAAGCCAGAAAACTCTCAGAAGAAAACAGGGATAAATCATGACTTGGACTTAGCATTGGATTCTTAGATAGGACACCAAAAGCAGAAGCAACAAAAGAAAAAATAAATGCGTCTCCAAAATTAAAAATGTTTAATACATCTAAGTTATCAAGAAAGCAAAACAACAACTTAAACAATAAAATAGTTGTAAATTATACCTGATAAGCATCTACTACCCAAACTACATAAAGAACTCTATAAAGACAACCAACCTAACTTTAAAAACGGGCAAAGGTCTTGAACAGACACTTTTCCAAACAAAATATACAAATGGCCAAGAAGCAGATGAAAAGATACTCAACATCACTAGTTATTAGGGAACTACAAATCAAAACCACAATGAAGTAGCACTTCATATATAATAGGATAGCTATAATTTTTTAAAAACTGGAACATAAGTGTTGACAAGGATGTGGAGAAATGGAAAACGTTGTACATTGCAGGTGGAAATTCAAAATGGTTCAGTCACTATGGAAAACATTTTGTTAAGTTCTCAAAAAGTTAAATGACTCAGCAACCCAATTCCTAGGTATACAGATACCCAAAAGAATTGAAAACAGGTACTCAAACAAATACATATGCACGCCATGTTCATAGCAAGCAGCACTATTCGCAATAGCCGAAAGGCAGAAATAGCCCAACTGTCCTTCAGTGGATGAATGCATAAACAAATCACTGTATATACATAAAATGGAATATTCGGCTATTTAAAAAAAATGAAGTACTGGTACAAGATGCAATGTGGATGAATCTTGAGAACGTTATGCTAAATTTAAAAAGCCAAACAAAGAGGTCACATATTATATGATTCCAATTATATGAAATATCCAGAATAGTTAAATCCATAGAGAGTAGAGATTGGTTGTTGTCGGGGCTGGCAGAAGGGGGAATAAGGAGGAACTGCTTAAAGAGTAGTTTCCTTTTGGGATGATGAAAATGTTTTAAATTAGATGATAGAGGTGTTAGTTGCTCTTCATTTTGAATGTACTAAATGTCAATGAATTGTTCACATTAACAGTGTTAGTTGTGGTCAAGCACAAGGGCTCACACTTGTAATCCAAGCACTCTGACAGGCTGAGGCAAGAAGATCGTGTAAGTCCAGGAGTTCAAGACCAGCATGGGCAACATACTGAGATGAGACCCTGTCTCAACAATTTTAAAATCAGCAGGCATGGCAGCACATGCCTGTTGTCCCAGCTCTTCAGGAGGATCACTTGAACCCAGAAGGTGAGAGGGCAGTGAACTATGATTGCACCACTGCACTCCAACCTGATGACAGAGCAAGACCCTATCTCAAAAAATTAAAATTGTTAAGTTTTGTTGTATCACTTCCACCTCAGTGAAAAACCATAAGCTGTATAAAAAATTTTTAATCAGTTGGTTAACATGTGCTATAAAAATAGTAGCTCAAGAGTACTTAAAAGAGATCCAATACCATACCCTATCTTACATCTTCTACCCTCCCAATACAAAATTATTCTAAGCTATTTCTTAAAACTCTTAGGGATAAATCTTAGAAGTCTCTAAATCACAAATACAATGTAAATGAAAAATTAATAACAACCCCCTTTAATAATCACTTCATTTTTGTTTATACTTCATTTCTTTGCACATACAATTTGATAGTGAGAAATTAGGTATGATCGTGAAAGTTAGGATTTAAATACAATATTTAAAAAGAAAGTATCCAAATTTAAAATCCAGTAGGAAAAAATAAAATATAAACAGCATAAACAAATACATGCTGAAAATGGCATTTCATAATCACAGGACTGGATTATTTCTTACCTCACTATCTAAGAAATCAGAAAGGAGTTTCAACACATTCTTAGCTGTAGCCGTCTCTTCAACTTCTTTTGATTCTTGTTCATCATCACTGTTTATTTCTGTACCTTCACAATGAAGGGTTTTGATTTTAGTTTTAAATGGTTCAATCCCAAACGTCATCAGTTGGTCAAAGATTGCCTTTAAAGCACTTATTTTTATTGTGACATCATCAATTTGCAAAACCTAAATCAAGATATTCCCCACCAAAAAAAGTAAATTCAGTAAAATGTTTTTATTGTTTACATAAAATTAATATCTATCTTTTTTCTTAGTCGAATTTCAATGACAGTGTCAAGTCTAAAGAAAATGTCACTTTTCAAAGATATAGTTAAAATTTCAATGTAAAAAAACATTCTTATTTATTTGAATCATAACATTTAGAGCTATATGCTTTAAGAAAAAGTTAATCTTCACAGTCAATAAAAATTTCTGGAATTAGACTCAGGCTGAATTATATTCTTCGTTCCTTTTATTTAAAAAGTATCAACAATGCCTTCATCCATGATTTTATTTTTTTAAGATTCAGAAAAACTGTTCAATTATATTGATAGTGTTCTAGCCCAGCTGTCAAGAGAAAAACATTATATTCTAAACAATGAAAGGCATTCACTAGAACAGTATTCTCCTAGGTTATAAAGTTTGATTTTTCTCTTATTAGCTCATTGAATTTAGAATTCATTAATAGCAAATTCAGTTTTCAGCTGGATTACTTTATGAAAAGACGTGAACCATGAAACTCAGCACTCTGTATGAGTCTAACGTTAAAAATGCACACAGATTTCAAAGCCATGGAAAAAATACAGAGTTCAGTATTTATATTATTTTAAAAAACTTTTTTTTTTTTTGATACAGTCTCACTCTATGGCCCACGCTGGAGTTAAATGGCAAAATCTCGGCTCACTGCAACCTCTGCCTCCTGGGTTGATGCAATTCTCCTGTCTCAGCCTCCTGAGTAGCTGGAATTACAGGTGCGCACCACCACGCCTGGCTAATTTTTGTATTTTTAGTAAAGGCGGAGTTTCACCATGTTGGCCAGGCTGGTTTCAAACTCCTGACCTCGGGTCCGCCAGCCTCAGCCTCCCAAAGTGCTCATACACAGGGTCCAAAGGTATGAGCCAATTTACTATATTCTTTAATGTAATTAAATTTAGATAATTGATAAAATAACTTGGCTTTTAGAACAAATAAAAATCACCCGTAAAATGGTCAAAATAATGAACTGAGAAAAAAATGCCTTAATTTTTCAAAACTTTTAAAGAAATTTCAAGAACACTTCCTGCTTGCCAGAAATGGACGATTGTGAATTCAGAATGGTCGATTATGAAGCAACACTGGACAGCTGCGTCATTCTATCATCTTTAAAATATTATATTCACTTGCTTTCCAGGAAATCAGACCATTTCTCTTCTACTGTCCAATTCTCCTTAACCCCTACCAGTTCCTCTTCATCTCCCCTACCTTTATCTGAGGCTTAGGGTCCTTCAAAGTGGACCCCTACACTCATTCGATCTATACTCATTCCTCAGGCAACTTCCTATCTCCAAGCATTGCAGACTATCAGATGCAATACAAACATCAATAGAATAAGGACTTCCGTCTGACCATCTTGGACCTCTGCCCTATACTCCAAACTCATATATAAATGCCTATTCAATATATCCACTTGTACCTTAAACTGTAAACTTATCATGCCCAATACTGTCTGCCATAAACCTGCTCCTCTGCTTTCCCCATCATAAGAAAAAACAACTTCATCCATCCAGTTATTCTGCCCCAAATCTTTAACCTCTACCTTTCTCTCACATACCACATCAGATTCATTAGCAAATCCTAAACTTTATTTTCAAATTTAGGTTACCATTTCTGCTCACAGCCTCAATAATCACAACGGTCATCTAAGCCATCACCATCACTTTCCTAGATTATCAAATACCTTCCTTATTAGTATCCATGCTTCCATATTTGTACCCCTATTTAACACAAGGAATCTGCAAACAGCCCAAATCCATTCTACCACCTGTTTTTGAATAGCCTGCAAGTTAGGAAGTTTTGCATTTTCAAATGATTTTTAAAAGAAGAAAATGTATTACATGTGAAAATTATATGAAATTCAAATTTCATTGTCCATAAAGTTTTACTGGACTACAGCCATACTAATTCATTTATGCATTATCTACAGCTGTTTTCACACTACAACAGCAGTGCTGAGTAGTTCAGACAGATCGTATGACCCACAAAGTCTAAAAATATTTACTCTCTCTGGCCCTGTACACAAAAGGTTTGCCAACCCCTCCCTGGTCTACACCACCTTATGCCCAGTGAGATGATAACAATTTTCTATTCAAAGCCCTCCAATTCCTTTCCATCTCATTTATAGTGAAAGCTGACATCTTTACAGTCTATAAAGTCCTAGAAGACATGGACATCCTGCTGCCAGCAAATCCTTTTTTATATTATTCTTCCCTTTGCTCAGTCTTTCCTAGCCATATGTTCTCTTGTTCCCTGAACACACCCAAAGTCCTACACCCCAGGGCCTCTTCCCTTGCTTTTTCCCCTTTTTGGAAGCCCAGATAACCACGTGATTCACTCTCGCACTTCCCTCTGGTATTTGTCCAAATGTCAACTTATTAGTGAGGTCTTTCTCAACCAAACTGCTCCCTCTCCTCCTTCCCATTTAGTCCCTTTCTCTGCTTTATTTTTCTCCATCTGATATATTGTATACTTATTTTTCACTTTGTGTTTCCCCTTCTAGAATGTAAGCTCCATTAAGACAACACCTTTTATCTTGTTTTATTCACTACCTACCTACTTCATTTCTTCAAAGTCTTTAACAGTTGCTGGCACATAATATGCACTCAATAAGTATTTGCTATGCGATTAAAAGAATATCTTAAATAACTGGCATTTCATCTTTTTCCACAAACACATTTTAATAAGAAATCAAAAGATAAAAAGTACTGAGTCTCCAAAGATTATCCATAATAATAATCATCATCAATAAGCACCAGAATAGATAAATTCAGAGTATTAGCATTATCACCACAGAGTATTTCAGAAAATAAAACAGAGACTTAACACAAGATAAATCCTACCTGCAATAGTAATACAAAGTGTTTACTTGCAAAATCCTTATTCTGTAGTCCACAGCATCCCAAGCATAAAACAGCCAGGTTTCTTACTACAGGATGAACACTTATTATTCCAGGAAGAATCTGAAATGAATCAGAAATTAAAATAATTCTGACCAGGGTAATAAATGTATAGTAGTGTACTAAAATCATATTCAAAATGACAATTTCCATATGATTTCATGGATCTACTTCATTTCCCTGTTGTCTATTAACTCAAAGATACCATTTTTCACTTTTAAAGAAAAGTGAGTAAATATTAAATAGCCAGAATGACCTTCCTAAAATAGTCTGATCATGAGATTCCTCCCCTCCACCTGCTAAAAGTGGTCCTTAACATGACATATACTATTCCCTATTGTGTAGTTTCTTTCCCAATCTTCTTATGCTACCTCTTGCTCCCAGTTTGTTCAACTAGTCTCATTTGGATTCAATGCTATCCAACAGAAATATAATAAAAGCCACAAATGGGAGCCACTTATGTCATGTAAGTAGTAGTCATATTAAAAAACAAAAGGTGAAACTAATTTTAATATATTTAACTCAATATAACAAAAACCTTGTAATTGTAGTATTTAGTCAATATAAATATGACTAACAAGATAACTCACCTTCTGTTCTTTGTACTAGTCTTTGAAACTCAACATGGTTTCTTCTTTTCTTTTTTTTTTTCTTTTTTGAGACACAGTCTTATGCTGTCACCCAGGCTGAAGTGCAGTGGCGCAATCTCAGCTCACTGCAACTGCAGCCTCTTAGGCTCAAGTGATCCTCCCACCTCAGCCTCCCAAGTAGCTGGGAGCATAGGCCTAAGCCACACCTGGCTAATTATTCTGTTTTATTTTTGTAGAGACAGGGTTTCACCATGTTGCATTGAGATCACTGTTGTGGTCTCCAACTCCTGAGCTCAAGCCATCCACCTGTCTTGGCCTCCCAATGTATTAGAATTACAGGTATAAGCCACCACTCCCATCCCCAATGTGTTTTAGTCATTACAGCATACCTCATTTTGGACTAGTTTTTATAAGCCATGTGTAGCTGGCAGCTACCATATTAAGCATTCTCTATCTTTTTCATATAAAGTCTACTCAAATATCAGACCAGAATCACCTTCAATGAATATGTCAAATCCGGCTATTATAAGTTCACATATGGTCATAACAAGCACTAACAGCACAAACTTTCGCTTTTTATTTACTTCACTGATGCTCCTCTCACTTGACCAGATTAATGAGGACAATCTATATCTCATTTTCTTTGTATACCATGTATACTTTATTCCCAGAAGTTAGTATGTAATAGATGTTCAGTAAATACTTCCTCAATGAATAATTTATGAATATTTTCCCAATGAATAATTTATTAAATTTTTTATTTAAAACATAGTAACTTCATAAAAATATAACTTTTATCCAAATATCTTTTATATTCTTCTACTAATCTCTTTCAATCTTTAGCCATAGACTTTTATACACTTAATATCATTATGACCATTCAATTTTGTGTCCCTTCTTCACATAGCACTATATGCCTTTCCCTCATATATAGTCTTCATATTTACTACTTCAATTTTGTAGGGCCAGACATAAAATACCCAAGTACAACTTAAAGAGCACTACTTTTCACTAAAGATAATTGCTTCTCTAAAAATAAAGCTAAATTCTAATGGTTGAGTACAAAATAGTATTTCTCCAGAAGCTCTAAACTATTAAAATTGGTTTTCTTTACTACATTTAGTAACTCACGACAACCAAGGAATTAGACTTCAGATCACATTCACTGGCTAATTCTCACTAGTATCAAGTCAATACAATTTTGAGATACTTCTGTAAGAGCCTGGCTACATATAGAATTTGCTTTGGATGAGTAGTACTATCAAAACAACAACAAAATACTCCACTAATACTGTGACCATTAGCCTCATGATGTGGCTACCGAACACTTGAAATGTGACTAGTCCAGTTTAGGATGTGCTGTAAAGACTTAGCATGCAAAACAGAATGTAAAGCACTGCAAGTTTTAATATTGAGTAAATAATGAAATAATTAATATTTTGGATATATTGGATATATCCAAATAAAACAGTTGGATACATTTAATATACTAAAATTATACTTTTTTTTTACTTTTTTTAATGTGGCTACTAGAAAATGTAAAGTTATATATGGTTTGTACTATATTCCTTATCAGAAAGTAATGTGCTAGAAGAATCTTACGGTACTTGTGTACCTATGGGAATTACCTACAAAGGGTTATTTTAAAAGTCCTTTAAATATAATAAATAAATTCCTTTCAGAGGGCATATAATATGATCAATTCAGTCTCATTATATAGCAAGATTCCAGTACTTAAATATTCCTGGTTATGTTTCAGTATCTCCTCTCTTATTATTCAAAGAATGAAGATATTCTGTATCTCCTTCTAATATGAAATCATTTTTTCAAATCTTTAAAAGATTATAACTTATGTATCAGGTCCTTAACATACATTATCTTATTTAATCCTCACAATATGAAGTGGCTACTGTATTTATTTATTTATTTATTTATTTACCATTTATACTTATCAGATATTTAAGATTGTAATCTGTTCACTATTTTGATTTTGAAAGAACACATTACTTATAAAATAAGAAAGGACTGGACTAAAATAAAGCCCAAGAGGCCACCAACAAACCAAAGATTCGATGATTCCATTCATAGTTGCACTTATGCCTGTTGAAATGGACATCTGCTTCAACAGTTCATAGCATAAAATAAGACATTTCTGCAATGTTTCAGCATCATTCTAAAATGAAGACAAAATATTCAGCATTAGTAATATCTTCTGCCCATCTCTTAAATGTTTGCTTTCTCAGGGCTTTGTGTAGGGCTTACTGTCACTCTATATAGACTCTGTGAGTGGTCTTACAGCTATCACACAGATAGTAAGTGGTAGAGGCAGGATTTAAAAATCGACAACTTCAGCCAGGCGCAATGGCTCATGCCTTAATCCCAGCACTTTGGGAGGCCGAGGCGGGTAAATCACTTGAGGCCAGAAATTTGGGAGCAGCCTGGTCAACATGGCAAAACCTCATATATACTAAAAACACAAAAATTAGCATGGTGGCACACACCTGTGGTCCCAGCTACTTGAGAGGCTGAAGCACAAGAATCTCTTGAACCCAGGAGGCGGAGGTTGCAGCGAGCCGCGATCATGCCACTGCACTCCAGCCTGGGTGACAGAGGGAGACTCTGTCTCAAACAAAACAAAACAACCTGACAACCTCATTTATCATCTATGAGCTAGCCCAGCTATTTTCTAAGTTTCAGATTCATATATACAACTGCAAAAAGACATCTCCTCTTGGATGTTCCAGTCTCCTCAAACTCAACATGTCCAAAAGGGACATCATTACACAAATCTCTCCTCTTCCTTGTTCTCTATCTTCATACTGTCATCACCGTCTACCCAGCTGTCTAAACCAAAAGACCTAAGATATATTCCTGACTCCCTTTTCTCCCGATTACTCATTTCTAAATATCTCTCAAGTTCATCACTACTTTCCATATCCACTGTTATTACCTTGTTCAGACTACCATCATCTGTAAGTGTCCCAACCCTACTGTATGTCTCCCAACTATTATGCCTGTCTAAGCTTTTACTACTCTCCTATCCATTTCCTGAACAACAGTGATCTGAGACATATGAGTTACCTAACCACTTAAAATACTAGTGGTTCACTATGATCCTTAAAATACAAAATTTTTAATATTGCTTACGCAAGGCCTTACATGACCTAGCCCTTAATTTTTCCCCAGATTTTTCTCTTGCCTCTCCCCATCAATTCTCTAGTCATGTGGACCTGAAGTTTTAAAACACAACAAGCATTCTTTAACTTCTGGACTATCACAGATGTTGTTCCATCTATCTACAACATTCCCTCCATAATTCATTGAGAATAGACAGCACAGAATGAGTTAAAAGCACAAGTCTAGAGCCACTTCTTGGGTTTAAATCCTGCCTCCACCATTTACTATCTGTGTGATGTTGGGCAAGTTACTTGCCCTTTGTAAAATGAAGATAATAATAGTACCAACATCATAGGCCTATAGTAAGAAAACGAATTCACATTTGTGAAGTAATGCTGTGACCACGACAGAAAAAGTATCCTCTAACTGTTAGATTACATTGTTATTTTTATTCAGATCTCAGGATAAAACATGTTCTCCTCTGGGGAAGCCAACAATACTCTACCAGCATTAGATTATCTCTCCATAAAACCTCTATACTTCCCTGATCATAGCATCGATTACGCTCTGTTGAAGTTGCACTTTAACAGATTTATAGTCCTCAAACAGGACAAATGAACACATAAATGGTCAAAGCAAGTCAAGTTAAACAGGTATTAACCATGATAAACTACTTTTGCTAATTTTTTAATTTTGACATACAGTTTGTCATTTTCAGATGATATTTTCAGATTTTATTTTAAATTTACTTTCCAAATTTAATAACCTATAATGGTCCACAGACTTTGTCAAACAAAAGAAGCTACCAGCTACCAAAATAAAATTCAGGCATATTCTTTTGGAAGGTGGGTATTGAAGTTGGGATGTCTATGGCTAAAGAGGTCAAGAACATAACTCATGAAACTCTCCTATATAGAAGGGTCTCCTATTTAGCATTCTCTTTATGAGAATAATCAGCGCACCCCTTTTAAAAGTACAATAAAAAATGATGTTCATTACAAAAGGTAATATCCCAAAAGAAATTAAAGTTAATATCAAATATTAATTGATACCTATCTTATGTTCACATATTTATCATTTGTTACAAGATAGAATGGTATCAATACCATTAACAAAAAATTTCTTTCAAGAGGAAAGAAATAATCCATTAAGAGTCTCCTTATCAAACTAATTTGTTTTAAAAAAAGGAACCACTGTAAAGCAAGTTTTAAATGTTACTAGACATATAAGTTTAGTATTTCATTAAACACAACAACGCTGCTTAGCTTTTTCTAAAAACACAAGAGTAATTTAGTTTTAAAAAAGGCTCATGTTACCATAGAAATTATTTTGCTAGCAGTAGAAAAGAAAGGTCATGGATCTTCCACAAATAAGAGAAAAATAGATGCATTTTCCTTTTTTAAACCATTCAAGACAAAAAAAAACAAAAACAAAAAAACCCAGAAAACTCAGAAGTGAACCACTGGAAAGCCAGCTTCCCTGGTAAGAAAGACTTCAGATTCTAGGTATTAGCATGACAAGGCAACAAATAAAGACCTAATAATAATTAAGTCTTTTCAAAGTCCAAAAATAGAAACAGGGGAAAACTTTTTCATTTTAATTCATGTCACTGTTATAAATTGCTCCAAAGTAAATATATTTTGGCAATTCCTGGAGTTAGAGAAAAGATTTAGTTAAGATGATTAATAACATCTGAGATTTAGTATGAAAAAAGTTACCTATACCTTCTCTATGTGGACTTCTTTAATTTCAAGTTGTTCTGTCTCTTTCAAAAGGTTTTTTCTGGCATCTTCTAATGCTTTTATTTCTTCTTTTAATTCTGATGCCCGATTAAAATCCTGTAAGGCAATGCAATTTTCCAAAGCTTCTTTGGCTTCGATGAGCTTAACTTTTATTTCAGCCATCTAAGAAAAGACAAATTGTTTCAACACTAAACAAAAACTGTTAATATCTGCAGCAACTCAGGAGTATTATTTAATAACTATCGAGAATTTAAAGAGTCAGGCATATGCAAACTTGTAATTTTCCTGATAGAGATCTGCAAATCTCTGAGACTGACGTAAAATAGTAACATTTTAAATGTTCTTATAGTTTAACAATTAAACAGTGATTATGTGAGAAACATTTCAGAACTGCACATCAAGAGGAAAGAATAGACTTGTACAACAACATTACACTCAAGCACTTATTTTATTTATATTATTTATAAAACACTTACCTTGAGTTCTTTCTTTCTTGCATCAGCTGGATCATCATTAACACCAACAGTAACAATGGGCGCCCGAATCTCTGAGATAATTTCTGTAACCTGATAAGTTATGATTCAGAGTACATGCTTTAATATATGTATGATACATCAGCAAATAGTACCAAAATGCTATATAAAACTCCAAGTAGTATCCACTATATATTGAATAATAGAGAAAAAAATATACAGGTAGAAATAGCACACATTCTGTTTGCTAGACAATTTTAGGAAGGAAAATAAATAAATAAATAAATAAATACATATATATACCTGACTACAAACTGAAATTATCTGAAGAGAAGGGAAACAGGCACACAGACACTGAAAATAAATTATCCCTCATATAGTGTCTGAAAAACAGAAAAACGAATGATCGTGCTTAAGATGAAACACCATTAAATTCTCTGCCTGAAATCCTCAATCCTTCTCTTGTTCACCTATGTAGGAGTTAAATACAGAAAAATGGAATATCCTTTTATTCTTCCTTTGGGTATGCAATCCATAAATATTAACAGCATAAGAAAAGACTTTCCTTTCAGAACCACTTGTCCATTGGAATTGGCTGATCAGGAAATGGCTGCCTCCCAAATAAAAGTTGTAGAAGGGGTGTATATGAAAGGAGAGATTGGAAGAGTTGACCTGTGAATTAACCTGCAACTGAAATTATATGATTTTTTTGAAAGAAATGATACAGATCTGTCTTTTTTGGCTATGCCAGAAAAAAATAACACTGAAATAGTATTATAGTAAACATTTATTTCTGTATTTATCAAGCACTTTATAAGCAATACCTCACTGAACAATGAAAGGTAGGTTTCATTGCTATTCTTATTTGCAGACAAGTAAAAAGACTGAATAACTTGTCCAAAGTCACGAAGCCAGAAAGGGTCAGAGGGGATTCTAAAACCAAGTACGTACACTTTGAGTAAGCTCTCAAACACACTAGCACCCACTGCCTCATGGACAAAACCACATCCTCACTTGTAACTTCCTACCAAATCTGCTCCATTTTTAACTGATTCAACAATGACAGGTACACTAAGAGGAAGAAGGTGATGTTTTTAAAATATTCTGTGTATGAAAAAGAGATAATTGGTTTTAAGAAATTTTAAAACTCATTAAAGAGACAAAGCTAAAACAAAACAAAGACAAAATCAAAAGTTCTAAAGAGAAAATAAGACAGTCTTCGGGACCAGGTGCGGTGACTCATGCCTGTAATCCAAGCACTTTGGAGGCCAAGGCGGGAGGATCACCTAAGGTGGGGAGTTCAAGACCAGCCTGACCAACATGGTGAAACCCGTCTTTAAAAAATAAAAATAATAAAATAAAAAAAGACAGTCTTCAATGTCACTGGCCAAAACCTCTTTATCAACAATGAGGAAAATTACTTACAATTTGTGTTCTCTTATTATCATCTATAATGATGTGGAGTAGTCTTCCAACAAGAAAAGAAACCAAGGATATTGGGATTGTGGGTAGAGTAAGAATCTCCTGCAAAATAGCCAGCAGTTTTTTTCTGCAGTCAAAAAGAACTAATTTAAATATCATTATGACAAAACGTATATTCTCTCTAACATTTACCTATTCTGCAGACTTAATTACATTTGCCTCAGTTCTTTCACTTACATTTATCACTATAATAGGTACAAAAATCTGTATGCACAGACTTTAAGTCAAATATTCTTATTCCACACAAAAATAATTTTCAAAAAACTTCCTATGATTTTTAATAAATCAACCTGATAAAATGACAAAATAACAGAAATGATTCAACCTTTTAGAAAATGCTACTAGCCTTAAAAAACCTAAATAGAAACTTTTAACCAAAAACTGCAATTTTATTGGTTTATTCTGAGAAAACTGAACTAGAAAAATAAATGCATGTGTATACATGGAAACATGTATAAGGGAAAAGGGAAAAAAACTTTTTATACCACTTTAGAGAGCTAGGATAAATATGTTTAATTATATTGAAAAAGGCCTATATTACTATACAGGAAATTAGAAGAGCAAATTGGAATAAGTGTTAACATTTAGATATACCTTCCTCCTTCTTCATTGGTATCCAAAGACTTAATAATTAGAATCAATTGTTGACCTATGAATTCTTTTGTCATCAAATTTCCAATATAGGAAAAATCACCTCTGTTTTCTTCATTAACAACTGGAATGCTCCGAATATAACTAAAACAAGCAGAATTAATAAAGTAGAATCTGTTAAGAAACATCAAACAAGAATTGGTTCCCACCATTAGGTCAAAAAAGGGCATTTTCAGGTCATATTAGTCTAAACACATAGATGTCTATGCCATGTAATTTGGTCTACAAACTCAATCCTATACCATTGTCATTAACTTTTGCAAACAAATTTATTGATGAATCAAATAATTTCGAAAATATTTTCAATAATGATTCAAATTTTTTATGGAAAATTTTCTGAAGGTACATATTTATATCTAACTGATATCTAATGATTTCAATGTCGCCAGCATTCTCCCAATTACAGATGGTCCCCAATTACAGGTGGTTCAACTTACAATTTTTCAACTTTAGGATGAGTTTATCTGAGAATTAAACTCATTTGACTTATGACATAGCCCCACTGTAAGTCAAGAAGCATCTGTCAAGTTCTGAATCCCTTGCCCAAAAATCCAGTTAGTCATAAAGATCTAACTTCATCATGTATAATTATCATTCTTTTATTTAAAAAAAATTGTAACAATAATTACACAAGTAATCCATGAATACAATTATCTTTTTTGAAAAAAATCAGAAAAATGTGGACAACTTCACAAATTTTTATTATTCTTTCTTAGGAACCCTAATCTCTGTATACACCACCACCATCAGCTACCCTTTATTCTTTTTTTTTTAACCTTTTATTTTATTACAGACATCACCACCCAAACTAAAGCCCTTCACAATCCTCACCAAGAGGGCTGTATATTTGGTAGCCTCTGCTTTTTGTGTGGAACATAAAAAAAAAAAAAAAAAAAAGTTACTTAAAAGCAGAACTAAGAGTGTAAACTTAGATAGCAAAGTGCCTTTAAGATAGAAGAAACATGAAAAACAATCCCGACCAAAAATGTCATTCAAAAAATGTCACCAGGTACAGGGGCTCACACCTGTAATCCCAGCACTTTGGGATGCTGCGGCGGGTGGATCACTTGAGGTCAGGAGATTGAGAAGAGCCTAACCAACAGGGTGAAGCCCATCTCTATCAAAAATACATAAAGTAGCTAGGTGTGGTGGTGGGCACCTGTAAACCCAGCTACTTGGGAGGCTGAGGCAGGAGAATTGCTTGAACCTGTGAGGTAGAGGCTGCAGTGAGTTGAGATCACGCCACTGCACTCCAACCTGGGCAACAGAGCAAGACTCCATCTCCAAACAAACAAAAAAAAGTCAACAAAAATCAAGTTATAGAAATTGTGGTATAATATGTAATAAATAAGTATATTCTTACGTATTACAAAGTGACAACCAAAAGTAAATAAAAGCTCATAAATTTCTGGCCTCAAGATTAGGACTTTCAAGACATCAGCCACCCTTTAGATTCTACTAGGAAACTAAGGAAACCTACACAACTGATAACTATCAAAATCAATCAATCAGTAGAGTTACTCTTTTCTGACAAGTTAAAAGAAAACCTTCATTTATACTCGTCTTTGGATCTCTCTCCACTTCTCCAGTTCCATCTTTAGCAAAATGCACAGCAACTTGGCTGAGGGTATTTTTTTTAAGTAAATTCAAACTGTTTAATTAATAGATTAAAAAATCCTCAGCTGCATAAATACAACTTGAAACTGACCCACCAATTTTAGTTACCATGAAATCTTCTCATTATAATGAAGAGACCACTCAAGAAAGTATTTTAAAGTCAAAGAATTTATATTTAAGACAGCTTTCAACAAATTTCATTGTTGTCCATTTTAATCTAATTTGATAAGCCTCACTTCCTTGTTTGCTCTTTAAGTGAACACCTTAGTTAACCAATTGTTTCACATCAGAGTTCCCAGTCATTGAATCTACTGCCTAAAATATACAATATGCCTGAAAATATATTCCTGAGAATATTAGGAAACAATTTTTCAATTTAATTTTGTTTCTATACTCAAGTATACTAATCCCATCTAGTGATGTTGCCCAAAAAAGAAAGTCATTCTATTTTTTAGGTATTCTTTCAACAATCATTATAATAAATTTCTGAAAGTTTTCCTCTTTAAAGGTGAAGAAAACAAGTCGATGAAGTTAAAGTTACTTATTTCAAAACTCAACGATTGAGTGACAAAGGAAATGTTAATCCCTGATCTTTCAGAAGGGAGGACTCAAGCTCTTTACAAGTCATCTTCTGATGCCGTCCTTGAGGAAAACCCCTCCTCCTTTATGCCATTTAAATATTTAACATTTCCTCATCTTTTCTTGTATTTTCACTATCTTCTATAAACATCTTTTATATTCATACACATTATTAAACTCTGCCACAAACTCATTCCTTTTAAATATTTCCAAATATTTGGAAATATTTCAACATGGCCCACACAGCATTATAATGAATTCTCTAATTAAATGTCAAAGTCTGAAATAATTACCATTAAAACGCTTATTAGATTCACACAGGTTCTTCATGATGTTAATATGGGCTTGAGCTGTAGTTTCCCTATTGGCTCACATTTGAGATATTTATTCTAGATTTAGGACTTTTGCAGAGGAAATTTAGAGGCATTCACAGTTTTGCTGCCTAACTTCTATGTGAGACCATTATGAACAAAAGCAGAGAAGTGTTATTTCATACAGATAATTCAGGTCCATAATTCATATTATATGGAGGCTTTTTTAAAAAATACATCAAAAGCATAAAGTTAAAAACCTACATACCAATATCTGTCAAAATATATGTATATTATCCTCTGACCTAGCAATTTATTTCTTGGAATTAACCCCAAAAAATCCCAAAGCTACTCAAAAATGTAAAGGAAGTGTAATGTACTTTTGCTTTTATCAGTGAAAAATAGCAATATCCTAAATGTCCTTCAACAGAGGAATGAATTAAATGTTATCACCGTACTATGCAATGATATGCTGTTAAAATGGTAATGGCACCTATTACATTATATACACACCAACATATAATGATCTCAGGTATCAGCTGAAAAAAAATAGTATTTGTAGAGTGCTATATTTTTAAAGAAACCTGTATTCAAAAAATATATATACATATAGAGAAAGATGTTTGAGTATATACCCCATATTGTTTAGTTGCTAATTCTAAGGAGATAATGGGATTGAGGAAGTAGGAAATAAAATGGAGAATTCCACATTTTTATTCTCTATACCTCTATATTTGAATTTTGACAAGAATTCATTCATGTTTTTCTTGTATAATTTTAAAGTGAAATAAATTAATCCAAATAATTTCTTAAAAGGTGTAAATATGGCAATCCAAATATTTTTTTAAAGGTATATTTTGAAAAAACTTTAAAACATGAAGCCAAATGGTAAGTTTTTAATAAATAAAACTGGCCACAAAGATCCATGCTGTGAATTGGAAAACTTTGGTCCATGCACCAAATCCAGCCTACTACTTGTTACATAGCTTGCAAGCTAAGAATATTTTAAATTTTTAACCATCATTTTTAAAAATTTCTTATTTTGTTAACACATGAATATTAAAGTTCAACCCTTTAGTGGCCATAAAAGTTAGTAAAAGTTTTATTGCTAAACAGTTATTTACACTGTCATTGGCCGCTTTTATGATACCATGGCAGAGTCAAGTCATTGTGACAGACAGTATATGGCCCAGAAGACCCTAAAATACTAATTATCTGGCACTTAACAGAAAATGTGCCAACCAATTTCAGAAATAATATATCATCATTATCAACTTTATGCAGAAATGTTCATAATCATATCTTAACAGTTTTAAAGAAATGATCCTAAACATAGTGACTTGTCTTTCACTATACATACCAGCATAAAATATTCAAAAAGACTCAATGTAAATAACTATCCCTGCATGTACAAGAAAAGGATTTTTAGCATATTCACAATCAAGCATGACTTTGAGGAAGGGGGTAGGGAGGTTGACACATGCAGCAACACAAGCATTCTCCAAACTGAAAGAAAAAAAATTTACCTCAGTAAATAGTCTGCATATACTACAGGCTCTGGCAAAATCTGTTCTAAAAATTCTTCACCTTCATCTCCTTTTGATTTCAAATATTCACAAAGGGCACACCAATACAAAGCAATTTCAGGAGTTAATGTTTCCACTGGAACCAATTTCCTTCATTTAAAAGAAAGAGTATAAGAAAAAGCATGATCTTTATATCACTAAAAATTGAAGAGTACAAAAATGGGAATAAGATTTGTTTTAAAACCACTATCCTTTTAATTACTCATTAATGTATCCACACAAAAAGGAATGAAGAAACTTAGAACAAAAAAGAACCAAATAAGCAAACATACACTAGAGATGCATGCTGTTGGATTTTCTCATGGTAGGCTAATTCAAAAATCAAAGTAAGAAACTGAGGAGGGAAAAAAACATAGCTAAAGTATATAGGCAATGATAAAGTAATGAGTTCTTACACCAGAAGGGGAAAAAGGGAAAAAAGATATTCGTCAGACTAAAAGAAAACAAAAGAGAGGTAAGATTAAAGGTATTAATATAATCTTTTTTTTTTTTTTTTTTTTGAGACAGTCTCGCTCTGTCGCCAGGCGCCAGGCTGGAGTACAGTGGCGCGATCTCGGCTCACTGCAACCTCCACCTCCCAGGTTCAAACAATTCTCTTGCCTAAGCCTCCCGAGTAGCTGCTAGGACTACCGGCGCACGCCACCACGCCCAGCTAATTTTTGTATTTTTTTAGTAGAGACGAGGTTTCACCATGTTGGCCAGGATGGTCTCCATCTCTTGACCTCATGATCCGCCCACCTCGGCCTCCCAAACTGTTGGGATTACAGGCGTGAGCCACCGCGCCCGGCCCGGTTTTAATATAACCTTAAGCTATGGGGAGGAAAAAAAAATTGATTGCAGAAGTTAATCAGTATTACATTTCAAAGAATGAATCCTTTATATACCTGTCATCATCGTTTTTACAGATTCCCACCAGTTCACTGAGGGGAGTCACTGAAAACAAGGTATTGAGAGCAGAGACTGCCACTTCAGAAGAATTTTCTACATCCAACCGATGAAGCAGCTCTAAGATATTTCCCTCAGAGAACCGTAACCAGCCTTGGAGAAGATGCTTCTGCATAGCTTGTTTCACAGCATCTGTTGAGTCATTTGAAACATAGGTGAACAAAGGCTCCCTCTAGCTTCCATCTCCTGTATTTTGTCTGTTTTAATTAACAAAGTCAATATTTACAACAGAAATAATAGATTAAGAGGCACAACTAAGCATATTAAAGGAAAAAAAAAAGTACTACGATACTGCAAAAGTCACTGTGATGGTCACAGATAAAAATGAAAAAGGTTCAGCACCAAATACCACAGCCTACACAAATACCTTTGCATTCCTTCTCCCCTGGGTTCAATGGGCTTCAGGTGTTAGCTTAGAATATCCAATAGCTATTATTCCGCTTGTTACCTGATTTCATCTATTACACGACTGCTATTTATAGTACTGAACTATGCAAGCACACATCACTGAACAAACCTTATTTTTGGCTTTTAAGGTTATCCTAGTAATTAGTGCGACAGTGTTTTCAAACTCAAGTCGGTTTTCTCACCATAGCACAATAGAGCCATCTTGGCCTTCTCTTGAGAGTTAAAAATTTCAAAAAATATCATTCCTATGCGCAGATGCTCTCAGGGGTCCCCAACTCCTGGAACACAGACCAGTATCAGTCTGTGGCCTGTTAGGAATAGGGCCACACAGCAGGAGGTAAGCCGAGGTCTAAGAGGCATTACCGCCTGAGGTCTTCCTCCTGTCTGATCAGCGGAGGCATTAGATTCTCACAGGCGCAGGCACTCTACTGTGAACTGCGCATGTGTGCTATCCAGATTGCGCTCTCCTTATGAAAATCTAACTAATGCCTGATGATTTCAGGTGGTACAGTTTCATCCGGAAACCATTCTGCCCACCCTCTGTGGAAAAACTGTCTTCCACGAAATTCATCCTTGGTGCCAAAAATGTTGGGGAACGCCACTCTAACAGAAAACAAAAAGGAAAATTATACTGGTCAGACTATTCCTAATTGTTTCTGATAAACAGAACACATTCATACCAAGGTATACACACAGGGAACAGCATTTTCTTTCTAAGGAAGAGAGAGAGCAAATAGATCTTTTCCTATTTCTGACATGAAGTAGCCCTGTAGACTTAAGTATTGTTTCACCATCTGTAAAACACAGAAAGGTTGAAAGAAATAAGCTCGACTCCTTCAAAATATCAAGATCTTGGCCGGGTGCAGTAGCTCATGCCTATAATCCTAACACTTTGGGAGGTTGAAGCAGGCGGATCACTCGAGGTCAGGAGTTTGAGACCACCCTGGCCAACATGGTGAATCCCCGCCTCTACAAAAATACAAAAATTAACCAGGTGTGGTGGTGTGCACAGAGAAGCAGAGGCTGCAGTGAGCCAAGATCGCACTGCACTCCAGTCTGGGTGATAGAGCAGGACTCAGTCTCAAAAACAAAAAAAATCAAAATCTTTAGCCTTATGTTTTCTATATAATATGGCAAGATAAATTTCACCAGGTTCATGGGACTGGCAAGCTTACTTAACCTGATTTCATACTTGTTTCCTAAACCTTGTTGTCTGGCCTCAAAATCTCACTAAAGTTTTGTATATATAAAATTGTTTATCTTACCTGATCTGTCATTAAGACCTTGTTGAAGGAGCATTACTCTCTGAGCAATGGACAAAGCTCTCATATGAACCTTTTCAGCTAAAACCTTAAAAATAATTTATAAAGATGGTCATTAAACAACACAATTTATTGATTTCATAATAAATATCACCATCTTAGAAAATTACCCAGAATCTCCAAAAGAAATTAGTATCTGGTAACACAATACAGTAAGATTCTACCTAAATTACCTGTGTTCTCTGTAAAAACCTCAACTGAAGAAATAATTATTATATGCCAAGTATTTTTCTAAAGCACTTTAAGAAAATGGCTTTTTGTCCTTTAAGAATATACCAACACAAGACATTGAACTTATTTACCTGATAAGCCAGCTTTCTGACAGCCTCTTTCACATCCTTGGTGCGCCCTACAATTTTTGGCAAAGTCTTTGCTGATGGTGCAATACATGATAACACTGCCCGTCTAACTTCTGAATTTGAATCATTTTCAATCAAAGTAGCATATGCTAAAAATAAAGCAATACCTTTTAGTCCTGAAGAAATTATTTAACTAGAGTCATAAAATAAATCACATTTTGATATTTAAAATGTCTTTAATATGATAAAAGATAGGCTGGGCACGATGGCTAATGCCTGTAACCAGCACTTCAGGAGGCCATGGTAGGTAGAGAACTTCAAGACCAGCCTGGGCAATACAGGATGACTCCATCGCTACAAAGTAATTTTAAAAATAAAAAGTTAGCCAGGCATGGTGGTGGCGCTTCCAGTTACTTAGGAGGCTGCGGTAGAAGTATCACTTAAGCCCAGGAGTTTGAGGCCACACTTCTATAATCAAGCCTGAGTGAGACCCCCCTCTGTAATAAAAAGTAATAATGTCATTTTTTAGTCTTACACATTTAATTTTAGTTCAAGTTTTTTTCCCCCCCACCAACTTCCTTTTTTATTTTTTGGAGACAAGTTCTCACTGTGTTGCCCAGGTTGGAACCAAAGTGCTGTGATTATAGTCCAGAGTCACTGCTGCACAGGCCGCCAACTTCCCTTCTAAAGACACGGAAGGAATTAGTCAATGGAATGGCTCTAAGGCCAAAAGTGAAAACAAACAGCACTAAAAGTCATGGAAAATTCATCATTAGATTATGTCTGTGCTACTCCTCAATATTTAAGAGAAAGTTTAATATAGCAGACAGTTTATTTTAAACTAATATTGCTTTATAAGGGCCCATTATTTTTGTTTTTTAATGAGGCCTAAAAAGAAATATCTTCTGGTTTTATTCACTGAAACAAACCCATTTCTAATATTTAAATATATTTATCTGTACTTCTCACATCTTTCCCACCTTAATTATTAAGTACATGTTGACTATCAAACATATATGTTTTACACATTATGTGTATCTTTTAACACCAAAAAAACCCCCAACTACTATGCTATCAAATAATTGTGATAAATATACCAGTGATTATAAAACTGGCAACAAGGACAAAGAGAACAGAAGAGTGCCTAAAATATACCTAGGCATATATAGAAAAATGAAATACAGCCATCTTTATGACCCCAGAGGTAGAAAAAAATTCCTTAAAAAGAGATCTAAAAATACGAATCATAATGGCAGAGATTTATATGTTTGACATTAGAATTTCTGTTCATAAAAGGATACCACAAAGGGAGTGAAACAATGATACCCCAATAAGCCATCTAAAACAGGAAGAGATCTACAATTCATATAAACCCAAGCACTACTTTTCAAAATAGATAAAGAATTCCAATGCATTAATTTTTTAAAATGGTATATTAAATTAAAAACCAGATGGAAAAATGGGCAAAACACAGTAACAGGTATTATACAGAAATATAACTGGCTGTTAAATATATAAGTACAGCATGGTTTACACAAAATGATAGGAGAACATTTAGACATGATTTATGTAAAACAAAATTTTTTTAATGTAAGCAAAAGATTAACTCAAAATTGAGAATAGTTACTTCTGAGGGAAAGGGATGCATCGGGAAAGGATGTAAGCATGCTTCAAAAGTACTTTTTTTTTAAGCTCAGTGGTTCTTACTTAGGTTTTTTTTTCTTTTTAAATCTGATTCATACATTAATTACCTCTACTCTTCCATATGTGTAGACCATACTAAAAAATTTCAAATACTGAGAATTTAACAAAATCAACAATTCTGAAAAAAAGGTTTCAGAAACAACACATACCATTAACCACTGGGCACTCATCATCCTTTGGATCCTGAAGTCGTGAAAGCGCCAGAACTGCCTGTATTCTCACATTTGGAATCTTATCTTTCAATCTAATAAGCATGGCTTCATTAATTTTATCAAACACATCATCATCAATCTGAGCATTTTCTGGCATACTTCCCAAAAGCTTGTTTATAAGCTGGCACACTCTAAATCTCACTGCATTGCTGTTTGTTTCATGAGACTAAAACAGAAACAAATCAAAATTTATTCATAGTCACATACCACTCCCAAATAATCAATATTATCTGAACACTATACATTCAGAATGCAAGAAGTTACAACAATTCATTTCCTGAAGAGAACCTACAATGCTACCTTGGTCCATATGTATAGCAAATACATATTTTATAAAGTCTCAAAATAAACAATCTGAGAGAAGTTTTTGCTAAGTTACACAGTCCTTTTTGTAGAAATTTCTAAAATACAGAACTCATTTAAAACAAACATAGGAGAACTAGTCTAAAGAGGTCATCAAAAATGTAATGCTGCATGCAGTTAGAGTCCACCTTTTAATCATAATAACTCTAAGATTTCTCTAAGATAACTCTAAGAATGATAGACTCATTCACTTTCTTAATCACTAGATATTTCATTGTCAAAAACAAACTTCCACGACCCTTTTTAAATGGCAACATTTCTAAAATCCCTCCCCAAAGTGATCGTTTTCATAGTACCTTTAAGAGAAAAGTAAACAAATAATTTAAAAGACCATCATCTTTCTCTTCCTCATCATCTTCAATATCCGATTGGTGAAATGAAGTAACAAACTTTGCTGCAAATTCTATTACCCTCTCCACAGCTGGCTCACGTTTATAGACCACCATAGCATATTTAAGGTAATGAACGAACTTCTCATGAAAACCTGTTTTATCATCCGTCTGAAAGACAAAAGAAACCCTTCATAAACTACACCGATAAAAATCCTTTATTCCCAACATCACTTTAAGACTGCTGAAAGGACTAGCCTTAATAATGCAAACAAATTAAAATTTTTATTTAGCAAACTCTTAATTATCCAAGCCAGCAAAAGGGGAATCAATTTGCATGAATTTCTCTCCAGGCTATAATTGGAGTACACAAGATTGACTTTTTACAGTGAAAAGATTTGATTTTTTTTTTCAATATCTTTGAATTCTCAATAATCCTTCAGTACCAGTTCAGTACAAATATGCTTCTTCATCAACAACCCAAAATCAATACTGGCTTTTATATTTCTCATATTCTGGCCTTCCTATCACCAGCAGTTTCTTTAGGAGACAATCTGCACATCGTATCTCATATCCTCAAAGCCCTGTGACGTTGACTTACAATTTTTCTTGAGCCTCAAGATCATCTTCTCCAAATTCATTGTTCTATTATTCTCAAGGTTCCACTCAAAACAAACAAATAATATGTACATAAATGGGAATGCCCAGGCCCTAACGCCTCATTTGGTAAATGACTGGATTCAGTGTAACCACGGGACGAGGGTAGAGTCATTTGACCGTCGGCGGGGAGCGATGACCCCAGGGGCAACGACCACTGAACCCCCGCGTTCAGGATCCACTCTGTGGCTCAATTTTTGATGCCTGGTCGCCTCGGTGCTCGTAAGCGTTTCTCTGCACGTTCACGATCAGACTGAGGAATAACGGTCCGTACCGCCCGGAGGTTACGGGTGTCGGGCCAGAAACGCCAAGGCGGGAACCGAGTGGGCGACGCCCAGGCTTCGGAGTCTTTCTACCCCGGGCCCAGGCGACCTCGGGTAAGTCCCTGACTTCTCCGAACCTCAAGTCCCTCTGAAGTGAGTCGCGAAGGTGAGCAAGGCTGGAGTTACGGTGTGCCGAGCCCAAGAGCGATGGAAGGCCCCTGACGGAGGCTGGGCCGGGGCGGGAGAGGGGCGGCGACCAAGGCCGGGCGCGCTTACCGTGCGGTAGGTGCGGCTCAAAGCCACCACCAGCTTGGCCTGGTTCTGGTGCGGCTGCTGCGCCAGCCGAAAAGCCTCCTTGATTGACAGCAGCCTCTTTTCCGCTCCCATGGCTCTGGGACCCTGCCGGGACGAGTACTGCCCGCGCTTGGCTACAGCCAGCCCTCCTCCCCCGCCAGCCCTGAGGCAGAGCTCTCAGTGGAATCTCCTCAGGCTGCAGAGAGCGGGACCCAGGTGCCCAGGGAGTCTTTACCGCCCAGACGTTCAAATAATTCCCGCGAGAAGGAGAAATCTCGCGAGACTGCCGCAAACGCTTTGGGAGGCGAAAGCGGGAAGCAGTGGGCCCACCCACCTCAAATCCCGCGCTTTGGGCGCATGCGTGTAGGTTCAACCTAGTCCAACCGTTTTCCCAGAGGGAAGTGGCGTTGCTGAAAGGGAGGGGCCGTTGGCTCGGCCGGAAGTGGCGGCGACGCGGGAGCGGGGTTGAGTGGTCTTGCCACGGTCGGGGCAGGGCTGCAGGCGTGAGGCCTAGCTGGGTCGTGCGGCCGAGCGTGAAGAGGGGAAGAAGAAGCGATACTCCAAGGGTGAGAACGGGAAATCTGCCCAGGATAACAATCTCCCTTGTGGTCTAAGGGCGGGGGATCCCTACACTAGGGCTCCGTTTCGAGAGACGGCGACTAAGGAAAGGTAGCGCGCGTTCCGGAGGCCCGGCCGCCTCTGAGAAGGGAGACGCTGCCGGGTCCGCTGCGCGGGGCGACCCGAGGTTAGTGGAGACTGATGCGGTCTTTTAAGGCGTTTGTCCCTGGCCTGATGAAGCCGACTGCCAAGTCCCGCAGGGCGTGCGGGCGGCCCGGGGATCGCTGCAAAGGGGGGTGCGGGCCAGCTTAGCTGCTGCCGCTTCTAGATGTGCAGCTCTTGAGGCCCTGTTTTGAAGTGGGCGTAAGGACAGTGTATTAAGGGATAACTCGAGAAGGGAAATGTCCTTCAGGTAGTGGTTAAGATAAAGAAGAGTAGGAACTAGGTCTTTAAATCACTTTTTTAAATAAAATTACATCAGACAAAACTTTTGTTGGGTCTCAGGATGCACCGTCCAAAAATAGGACTGTGTTATGTATAACCCAGCCAAAGAACCTAGGAGGATGGAGGGAAGCCGTTTTTCCCTCTCCTACACCTCAGTAACCCACTGCCAGCTGAAGAAATACAACATTACTAAGCCACCTGTACACCTTTCTCCTTTTGAATTACCTTCCCTCAGTAGTCATGGATTTTCTGAATTTACTGTTAACTTTACCATGCAGATTTTTATGTACTTATGAATAAATCCCTGAATGAGGATATTGTACTATTTTGATGTTTTAACCATTAAATGAATAATTATATGGACATCTGGCTTTTTTCAGTCAATATTGTTGTGGTTCATATTCATATATTAATAATAGTAACTTGCACTTAATTGACCTTTATCATGTGCCAGACATGAAACACTTCGTTTAATACATACAAACAAACCCTACAGGATAACTCTGATCTTCTTTTAAGATGAGGAAACTAAGGCACAGTTAGTTTTCCATTATATTAATATGCCATACCTTATCCATTCTCCTGCTAAATTCCTCAAACTTTGTAGATATTCAATTGCTAGTTAAGGTAAGAATGTGGTAACATATGTGTTGCCCATAGTTGTGCTTTGTGACATTTCTTTTCTTTTTTTTTTTTTTTTTTTTTTTTTTTTGAGACAGCCTCTCTCTGTTGCCCAGACTGGAGTGCAATGGCATGATCTTGGCTCACTGCAAACTCTGCCTCCCGGGTTCAAGCAATTCTCCTGCCTCAGCCTCCCGAGTAGCTGGGTACAGGCGTGCACCACCATGCCTGGCTAATTTTTTGTGTTTTTAGTAGAGACAGGGTTTCGCCATATTGGCCAGGCTGGTCTCAAACCCTTGACCTCAGGTGGTCCACCCGCCTCAGCCTCCTTTCTTTACTGTATTGTATTCTTCTATCTCACCAACAGAGACTTCATACCGTTTTGTCAGTTATAGAAGAATGAGCTGTCTGGCCACCAGAGGTCAGCCTAACTATATTTTGGTTAGGTGTTTTTTGTTTGTGTGTGTTTGTTTTAATGGTCAAAGCCATGGGTGGAGGGTCAGTATTTCTTGATATTATAATCTGAAGTTTTTTTTTTAAAAGATGCTAAATTTAAACAACATAATATCACTGCCTTAAAGCTTACATGTTTCCTGACTTTTGATTTGTACTGTGAAATAGAACAAAAGCAATTATGGAAACGTGAGAACCTTTTTAAAAATATTCTGAGTAACACAATAACTGAAGTATAGCCAATTAGTAATTTCACAGGTGCAGTCTGGTTGAAATGAAAACAGTAAAAATATTAGAGGACAGCACAATGAAAAGCCAACAACTTCTCCTGTCTCAGTTAATAAAGACTTAGAGTCCATGACAAAGATTGAATACTCTTTTTCAGATTGAACTAAGTAATAGTATTGTAAATTAAGAGGTATCACATCAATGTTTCTTCTTAAAGAAGTTATAAGCAGTTTCCTTTATATTATTGTAGTAGCATCACATATGTTCATCCTGCCTTAAAAATTAATCTAATTTGTCTTTCTCTTAACATTATCAAATCACCAAGATATAACTTGGAAACTCTTCTCTCCCTGGAGTAAAATAGAACGTGCCTGTGGTAGTTTCTTACTGCCTTTGCCGTTCTCTGATTCCCTCAAATATATTTGCTGAGCCACTAACATATGCCAGACGCTGTGCTAGGAGTGTCTGGAAGACACGGAAATACTCATGAGTGGACAATTGCTGACCTGAAGCCATACCATATGACCTTATTAGCACAACTCAGTGTATTTGATAATGCAAATGTTCACTGACTTTGATTTTGGAAATCCCCCCCTACAGAGTAGCATAAATGAGACATTGATATTGTTCCTTTTTTTTTGAACTGGTTAGAAAAGTTTATTTTGTGTTTAGCATATTTTTCTAAGGTATCACAAGTTACACATCCAAACTCTTCAACAGTATAGTGTTTTATTCTAAAGGAGAGGCCTTTAAAGAAAACTTGTATATTATAATACTGCAAGTCTAATCGATTCACATCGCAACAGAGCCTAGAAAGAAGGGGACATTAGAGAAATTGTCTACTACATAAGGGTCAGTTGATTCATTGTATTTATGGTTTTCCCCCTTGTAAGGTGAAAACTATATGTTTTAGCTCTTTAAGGAGTAAAAATACACTAAATGTTCCATCCTATTGATTTCTACCTGTGAAATTCCACACAATATTAGCAGTCGGGAAAGAACAGGAGAATATGAAGTCTGCCTTTTAAAAAATATTAAAATGTTATGATTTTAAAACATCAAGCATATTACAGACTATAAAATCAATTAAGAACTTTCTGTATATAAGGACAAAGATACATTTAAGACATATACAAGAAGATGCTTCTTCCTAAGTAGAATGCAAACTTTGTTTTATATTAAGTTTCTGTGAATTTTGAAAATGTAAAATACCAAAGTTTTTCCACATCAGACAAAAATCAGGAATGTTCACCTTCACATCCAAAAAGAAAAAGAAAAAAAAAAACAATTTCAAGTAGAAGTTCAGCAAGAATAATGTAAAATCTGAAAAGAGTGGCCAAAATTTTAAATTATCAACAGGCAGCTCAATTTGATGGATCTTTCAGTAAACTTAAGTTTGAAACAACAAAATTACTGTTTAATAAAACATAGAAAAATATTTCCTGGAAATTATCATCCAATTTGAAAAATAAAAAATGTAACCCATAGTAAATAAAAATACAAGAGAAAATCAGCCTCTATTGGAATCAAGTTATTGTTTCTTTTCTCATTTAAAGCTATGCCTTTAAAGGCAACCCATGTTGCCATATATACTTTACCAGTCCGATTCTCCAGTGATAAGAACCCAGAATGCTTCTAATTCCTATCATCACAGATGTAGCTTCAGGGTATATCCTCATACATGTTCTTACTGAATTTCTTTGCTATCTATGCCCAAAAGTAGGATTGCTAGATCATGAAATGGGCATAGTTTGCCTAAGTAGTGCTGCCAGGTTCTTCTTTGGAACAGTTACTCTACTCTGCAGTCCCAGCAGCAGTGGCAGTACCATAAGAGAACTCACCGACACTTCCCATTCTGATTTTGCCAAACTGATAGCATAATGTGATCATATTATTCATGTCTTGGGATTTTCTCTTTTATAATTTGGCTATCTTTGTCCTTTGCTCATTTCCTTATTGTGTTGCTATCTTTTTTAAAAATTGACTTTATTTTGTCCTTGGTATCTTCAGAAATGATTAATTGTGATGTGATTAAATTCATTTTTTGGTCTGGTGCTTTATGATTTTGTTTAAGAAGTCTTTCCATGGACTGGGTTCACAAAGATATTCTGTATTATATTCAACTAACTATATAGTTTTACCATCCCCATTTAGGTCTTTAATCTATCATGAGTCCTCCCTTATACATGTCATTATATAGGAATACGATTTTACTTTTCATTTTTTTCTTAACCTTGTTCTTAATTTTTTCTTAATTCTTACTCCAATACAGTTTTACTTTTTTTCATATAATGAGCCAGTTGTACCAATTTGTATACTAGCCATGTCCATTCACCCTTAGTTTATGTGCCAACCTTATTTTATATTACATTCCCAAATTATATATGGCTCTGTTTCTAAGCTCTGTTCTGCTCTATTGGACCGTCGTCTACACTAATCCTACCCTATTTTAATTTCTGTGATTTTAGTCACAGGACATACCTTGAAGAATAGGAACTCTCTTACTCAGAATTCTGTTTAAACAGTTCATTTGGCTATATGTGGAATTTTATCCTTTCTGTATAAACTTTAAAGTTTATTTATAGAGTTCCTTAAAATCTTGATTGGAATTATAATTAATAGGGAGAAAGTTGATATCTTTAGGATATTTGCTCCATCCAAGAGCATGGAATGTCTGTATTTTAAATTATCTTCTATATTGTTTATTAGATCCTGTATATTAATGATGAGTTCCTAGGTTCTTTACAGGATTAGATTTTTGTTGTTTCTTTTTTCTTCTGTGAAATGTCCTTATATATGGTTTAGTTAGTATTGCTGGTATAAAAGTTAATAATGCCTGGGTTGAAACACTGACCCTATGACTTACTAGATGAATGGCTTTTGTTACATAACTTAATCCACAGGTAAGATGGGGACAATAAAAGTACTTATCTTTTAGGGTTGTTAGAAGAATTTTAAAATAGTTAACATTTGTGCAGTTCACTAGAGTAGGATATGGCAAATAGTAAGTGCTATATAAGTAATTAAATTAATGAATATTCATAGGTTAATCTCAGTTGAGGAACCTTGTTGAAGTCTAATAGTTTGTATGGCTTTTTTTTTAATTAGATGGTATCATCTATAAACTAATACTTTTACTTCTTCCAATTCTTAACATATCTTTGTTTAAAAAAGAAAAAAAAAAAGAAAGAAAAGCATTCATTAGGACTTTTAGTATACCACGTCAGACAGTATCTGACTCAGTCAACATAGTCATCTTTACCGAATTTCATCTTTTTATTTTTTATAGAGAAGAGTCTCAGAAGAGTTTCATTTTGTCATCCAGACTGTAGTAAATCAGTGCGATCATGGCTCACTGTGCAGCCTCCATCTCCTGGGCTCAAGCAATCCTCCTGCCTCAGCCTCCCAAGTAGCTAGAACTAAAGGTACATACCACCATGCCTGGCTAAATTTTTTGTAGAGACAGGGTCTTACTATATTCCCAGGCTGGTCTTGAACTTCTGACCTCAAGTGATCCTCCTGCCTGGGCCTCCCAAAATGCTAGGGTTATAAGCATGAGCCACTGTGCCCTGCCCCAGACTTCACTATTAAAGGAAATGTATCTCATCTCATTCAGGATTATAGTTTTTGGTAGATAACCTTTACCACATTGAGAAAGTTATATTCTCTTTCTAATTTAGTAAAAATGTTTTATTTTTAAAGCTTGAATACATGTTGGTGAGGAACTAACAAAGGTTAAATGTCCACATTCAATAAAATCTAATTTTTTTTCTTTAGTTCTGGTAATTTTTTTTTTTTTTTTTTTGGAGACAGAGTCTTGCTATTGCCCAGGCTTGACTACAATGGCTGGATCTCAGCTCACTGCAACCTCTGCCTCCTGGGTTCAAGCAATTCATCTGCCTCAGCCTCCCAACCAGCTGGGACTACAGGCATGCACCACCATGCCCGGCTAGTTTTTGTTAGACGGGGTTTCACCATATTGGCCAGGCTGGTCTTGAACTCCTGAGCTTGTGATCTGCCAGCCTCGGCCTCCCAAAGTGCTGGGATTACAGGCATGAGCCACGGCACACCTTACACATTTTTTTAATTTGAGTTATTCTTGCTTCCGTGGGATAGGCTGTATTTGATAATAACATATTCTTTTTTCTTTGATGTACTGTTGGATTCTGTTAAGTGATATTTAGGATTTTGCAAGTGAAATGAGCCTATACTTTTCTTACTTGGTTCATCCCTAAGTTGGAATTGATTTTTATTATCTTTATAAAAGGAGCTGGTCAGCTTTCATGCTTTTTCTTTTTTGTAGAACAGCTGATATCAGATTGGTCATAGGATCACAACTTCTGAGGTCCCAGCAAGAATCCTAACATGTAGCAGCTCTGCCACCAGGACAGGCCCCCTAAAACTAATCCCAACAAGCACCTCTGAAGGTTAAAAAAAAAAATACCTCTTATAGCTCTCTATTTAGAGTTTGGGGCATAAGGGATCAGCATTTGCAAAATAATTTTCTGGGCTAAAGCTGCATACAAACTGGCCCAGTTATGTACTAACAAAGGATTAAAATGGCCCTAGACTCTCCTCCTCAATACTATGATTTTAAGAGCTATTATCAACAGGTAAATTGGCCTAAGCCTGTGAGATAGAGAGGGAAGAGTCTGCAAGACTTCTTGCTCAGCATGTATTCTGTTTTTAGATACCCTAAAGTTAGATAGGTAATGGTGTTATCCAGTGCTTTCAGGCTTTACAATCATGTCTCTAGTCTTCTCATTCACAGGTTAAGGCTACCTTTCCAGATAGTCCAACAGCTAACCCAACAGTTTCCAAGGGCATTTGCATCACCTGTGAAAACATCGGATCCTTATACACCAGATGTTCTTGACAGCTCATCCCATCATTCCCTCTCTGCACAAAAGTTGCTATACCAGTGGACAACCAAGACAGCTACTGAGCTTCTTTTCATTATCAAGTAGATATTATATCACTGCCAGCAAAACAGCACAAAAGTATATCTTCACGGTACCACTACCAACTGGGACTATGCTAAATAAATCAGCTTGCCTAGATGAGGACCCCTTCTCTTCTTAGATAGCCAGGATTTGAAGGAGATAATCTGACCTGTGCCACTGGTAAGTGACTAATACTTTTACACACTGAACTGGTCCTGGAAACTGAGATGTCTTCTTTGTAAGTGAAGAATATTCAACATAATCTTGAAGAACTGCACAGTGGTGTGGGCCACAAGCATACTTTATGTGTGTAATTGACTGAAAGACAAAGTAACCTTGGTGAAAGGATTTTTCATCTCATTTCTATTTGCCAGTGTTAGTCAGTGTTCTGCTGGCTTAGATTATTACCTTTTTCTGGTTCCTTACTCTGTTTTATTCCAATGGGTCCTAGAAATCCCTCTCCTGACCACTTGTCAGAATCAGAAAGTGAGGAAGAAGAAAACATGAGCTACCTAAATGAGAGTTCTGGGGAAGAGTGGGATTCCTCTGAAGAAGAGGACTCCACGGTACCCAACTTATCGCCTCTTGAGAGTCTTGCCTGGCAGGTGAAGTGCCTTTTAAAATATTCTACAACTTGGAAACCTTTAAATCCTAATTCCTGGTTGTATCATGCTAAACTCTTGGATCCAAGCACGCCAGTCCATATACTTCGAGAGATAGGTCTAAGACTCTCCCATTGTTCCCATTGTGTCCCCAAACTGGAACCAATTCCTGAATGGCCCCCTCTGGCCTCTTGTGGAGTCCCACCTTTTCAGAAGCCCCTTACAAGTCCCAGCCGGCTCTCTAGAGATCATGCCACTCTAAATGGAGCACTGCAATTTGCCACCAAACAGCTAAGCCGAACATTGAGTAGAGCCACTCCCATACCTGAATACCTAAAACAGATCCCTAATTCATGTGTTTCTGGGTGTTGCTGTGGCTGGCTAACTAAAACAGTTAAGGAAACAACTCGTACTGAACCCATCAACACTACTTATTCTTACACTGACTTCCAAAAGGCAGTTAACAAACTCCTAACTGCATCACTATAAAGATCTACCGTTTGCTCTGATATCTCTGATGTTGCTAATTGAGAAAGTGGTACAAAGTCATTACACAGCCCACCAATGCCTTCTCAATCAAACTATTTTGTGCCCTGGTAAGCCAATGAGGATACCCTTTGACAAATCCTATGGATAAAATGATAATATCAAGGCCGGACTTGGTGGTTCACACCTGGAATCCCAGCACTTTGGGAGGCCGAGGCAGGCGGATCACCTGAGGTCAAAAGTTCAAGACCAGCCTGGCCAACATGGCGGAACCCATCTCTACTAGAAGTAGAAAAATTAGCCGACTACGGCAGTGCATTCCTGTAATCCCAGCTATTCAGGAGACTGACACAGGAGAATTGATTGAACCCAGGAAGCGGAGGTTGCAGTGAATGGAGATTGCGCCACTGCAGTCCAGCCTGGGCAACAGCGAGACTCAGTCTCAAAAAAGAAATGACAATATCAGTGGAGAATTAGTTAAGGAAACCATGTTACAAAAAATAGTTGAATATTCTTCACTCAGTTCTCACCCTCCCCACCCCAATTTACTCTGCGTTTCTGAATGGCTTTAATGAGATATCTAGTTATTAATGGAGAAAAGTAGACCACCACCCCTTTTGTTATCTATACTTCAGAACAGCCATCACTGAAAGCAAGAAGTTGATTATCCACAATAATACCTTTCTGAGCATACTCTTCTCTGACATGGAGGTAGTTGAACTAAATTGAGTACACAAAGGAAAATGTCAGGAATATGACTTTTTCCAGCTTTTATATAGATGTGCCTACATGTGACACTCGTTAGGGTTCCTTTTATTTTTATAGAGGCGGGGCAGGAAGGACTGCAGTTTGAAGACTATCATATACTACTACAAACTTCGGTACTTAAAGTTGCAGCATGAACATTCTATATCAGAGTCTCCCACCAGACTGTCTCTGGCTGACTCAGCCTATAAGATCATCTCTTGGGATTAAACAAACACATGTTCTTTAGGGAATGTGTTCCCTGAATCTTGGCACTCAGACTTTTGTCAAGAGTAAATACATTTTGAAAGATGAATGGAAAATTATTAAGAGCATTTATGCTTTCAGTGTTAACTGCTAATGGATTAAAATTTTAATCTGTGTAACATTTCCTGGAGCAAAAGTTCAAGTACTTTCCACATCCATTGCAAACTTTGGGAACCCTTCAATTTTAAAGAACCTTCTTATTAGAAAATCTCAGCCTAATACAATCTGAAGTTGAGTTTTAGCATTGTTTTTCTAAGTAGATTTAGTTACAGATTTTCTTCTGGCCAAACAGGAGTATGTGCCCTTGTAAATAAGTCTTGTTTATTTAAATGAGTCAAAACCTAGAAATCAATATATGTAAAATGCATGAGACTATTTAATCTTTTCATATACTCTTAGAAGTGAAATCTGTGCATGGTCCTGGTTGACTGGGCATCTAAAGGGAATCAGAAAAGAGATTGTAAAAAATATATATATCCTCTTCCTTATTTTAGTTTTCCTTTTTCCTGGTCAGGAGTTCGTGACCAGCCTGGCCAACATGGTGAAACCCCATCTCTATTAAAAATATAAAAATTAACCAGGCGTGTGGCACACACCCTGTAATTCCAGCTACTCAGGAAGCTGAGGCAGGAGAATTGCTTGAACCCAGAAGGTGGAGGTTGCAATGGGCCAAGATCGCACCACTGCACTCCAGCCTGGGTGACAAAGTGAGATACTGTCTCAAAAAAAAAAAAAGCAGTTAGGAATCACAAATTGTGTAAATACATAGCAACTTTAAGAAGAGAGAAGAATGCTTATAACCTAATGAATGTTTATGCTGAGCCTTAGCTGTCTGGTCTAAAGGAAAACAGAGGGAATTGTAGAATAAAAGTATTTGCCTAAAACCATATCATATTGTTAGTGTAATTGGATGTATCAGAAACTGTTCATATATAGATACTCTGTTAGAAACTGGTTTCTAAAATGTTACAAGAAACTCTTCCTTTTTTTTGTTTAAGGGGAGGTGGGATGAGATAGGGAAGAGGTCTGCATATTAAAATATGTTGATGTTTATGTATCCATAATGTGTTCCATTTTCTCTCTGTGTGTGTATAAAAGTGCCTTGCTCATAAATGCATTTTTGCTATTCACTTCAAAAGGAAGCCTTTCCCCAGCTTGGCAGCTGAATAAACCAACAGCTTTGTACATGCTAAACAGAGTATGGTCATTTGTCCTCAACAAATGAAGTAGATCCTACTTTGCTTAAGGCATATTCAACATTCACTAAGTACTGAATAGAGTTAATAGATGTAGTACCTGTATCTATATAATATGTCTGACTGGAGATGATTTGACATCCCTAGAGAAGAAACGCACTTGAAGAAGAAAATTCTGATATTCAGCCAGGATTAAATTGAGCTTATTTTTGTTTTTATATTTTAAGTAATTTCAGATTGCACAAAATAATAGGTAACTACATAAGACTTAAGTTAACTTTTTGTGTGGCACAGACACTGGGGTTTGGGAATGAATTTACTACCTTTGCATTCCCTGTGTTGGCTTCTGGTTAAATGCAGTCACCATAATTTGGATAAAAAGAGATGAATTTATCCTCTGTTTATAGAAATATTTATCAAAGCAGTAAGGAAACTATTTCTAAACCAGTGGACATTAACAGCCTTTCACTTCGTCAGCGTAGATAGGAAATTTTTTTTTTTTTTTTAAGATGGAGTTTTGCTCTTGTTGCCCAGACCGGAGTGCAGTGGTGCGATCTCTGCTCACTACAGCCTCTGCCTTCCACGTTCAAGCAATTCTGCCTCAGCCTCCCTAGTAGCTGGCATTACAGGCATGAGCCACTGCACCCGGCCATAGGCAACATTTTTATTAAAACGATCCAGATAACCTTGCGCTTCAAATACCATAATCATGTCTTTTAATCCCATCTGCCTCCTAAGAAAAGGAAAAAATTCATACATTCATGGCAGGAGGGCAAATGATAGGTCCCCTCCAGGAGATAGAAGCCCCTCCTGCTGGGCCTTCTGTCACACCTGTTCCTATAAAAAAAATTGTCTTTCTAATGAAAATAACATTTTGATATTAGTATAGATAGCTAAGGTATTTGAGGACCTTAGAAATCACTTGGCTTATTATGTATAAGTTGTCTTGCATCTGGCTTTCTACTTTTGGCTCCAGTGTTAGAGAACGTGTCTTTTGGAGTAGGCTGTTAATTTTAAATAACTGTTAGAAATTTAGCCATTCATCCAATATTGCTCTGGAAAAGTGCCTACTATAGTACAGATGCTGGAAATGCAAAATTAGATACTACACATGGGAAATTAGTTTTAAAATAATATTTATATGTTACCCCAAGCCATTTCTGCTATCTAATGTCATGTTAAATAAGCCTAAACCCTAATCCATATGTTGGCCCTTTACATAGTGAAAATGGCTTATAGTGGAGAATCATATAAAAGAATTGAATGGAGCAGCCATCCAAGTGTAGTGAAGAGCACACTTCAATTAAACCCGCACAGTGATTACTCAGCCAAGGAAATGGAGAAAATATGTAGATATTTTGTATGCAAATTTAAATTATATCTGCCATTCACAAGGCAGTGGCACAAAGATCAGGGCCAGAAGTGTTTTGCTCAGGTAGCTAGGATATATAGAACAGCCCGAGAAGTCTGGGTAGCTTCTCAGACTTTATAACTGTGCAAGCTGATAACATGTTTGTCCACCAGTGATAGCCACTGGACTGAGGGAGCTACATTAGCTGGCACCAACCACCAGTACTTCTTTGTCAATTTGCTGTTGCTAAAAGAAAAATCTCTATGATGTATCTCTGATAATTTTAAATAAATTTTAGTTAATGACTACATATTTGAGTCTGATAATTTCATGCCGTTTGCCAGGCTCTTCCTTTCAGTTAGCAGCAGCAGTAAGACTATAAAAGTTTGCGAGTGAGATCAAGAAATGGAAAGGACAAGAATATGCCACAGTGACCCAACACTTACTGGCTTTCCATCTTCTGTGAGAGCTATGACCAGCCATTCTCAGTGAGATGTGGAAAATGCCTGGTTTTCATTTATTTTATTTTATTTATTTATTTATTTTGACACAGGGTTTCACACTTACCTAGGCTGGAGTGCAGTGGCATGATCTTGGCTCACCGCAGCCTTGACCTCCCACCGCAGCCTTGTTGGTAGCTATGGACTACAGGTGCACACCACCACACAGCCCAATTTTTTTGTATTTCTTTGTAGAGACAGTTTCACTCAGGCTGGTCAGGAACTCCTGAGCTTCAGCGATCCTCCCACCTCATGCTCCCAAAGTGCTGCTGTTACATTGGTACCTGTTTTTTTTTTTTTTTTAAAGGAAAATAGCAGTTTAACGGGAAGATAGCAATAGGGTTATTGCTTCTAAACTGTGGAGTCAGTTAAATATGTTAGCAGCGGTTTCAAGTTGAATCATAAAACAGGAAGTTGACTGGAATTTGGGCAGTTTATTTGGGAAGACATGACTCTGACACGTGATATGAAAATTTCTGGGATCATTAGGGGAGTTAGGCCCTATAACAATAATGATTCAGAAGGGACCCAGGATATTGGTTAGCCTAACAAGATTAAAACTAACTTCCTAGTATACACAGAAACCAAGCTGGTTTGTCAAATTAGCAACAGAAACCAAATAAAACTTAAAATGAGTTGCAGTTAATAAATTAAGGAGCTGGTAGTATAGTTCTGTTTGGGGGAAAATTGTTAAGTTTGGGTTAACTGCTCAGCCTATGCCTAATATATTATCCTTCCATCTATGGTATCAGCTGTGGGACCTGACACTGCAATGTATCAACTGATCATTCTGGTTTGCAATATATTAATTAAGCAATGAACCAGTAGGGGCAACTTCCTTTGAGAGCTCCAGCAAAAAAGACCCTAGTTGGGCTTTATGGTTGCACCCTGAGTAACTAGGATGGCCTGAGTGGTGATTGGCAGAGCTCGGGTAAAAGAAGGGTGCAGCCACTACCTGGAGAATCCTAATTTCTGAATTAATTGAAGGCTGGCATTAATGTTGGCCACAGCCAATGCATTCCATGTAGACTCACTGCAAAGTGTGTTATATGATATTGGTCCCTGTCTACCTAGTTGGTTCTGACGTAAACTTTCCCATGGCTTGAAAGCTTTGGTGCAGAGCCCAGTTTCCTTCTTTGGATGCAATTTTTCTATGTTGGTCACATTCTACTTGAGACACATTTCTTTAAATGTGTTGGGTTGCCAGATTTAGCAAACAGAAATACAGGACACCCAAATAAATTTGAATTTGAGATAAATAATGAAATATGGCATATATACCAGAAAAAAGTTATTTATCTGAAATTCAAATTTAGTTTTTTGCATTTTATCTACAACCCTATAAATGTGTTAGTGGCATGGATTAAGCTTGAGTTTTAGTCATATAGTTGTTCCCAGGAACTGACTCTTTTCATTATGTGTTTTGCTGTTTGTTTTTGAGTCAGAGCTTTGCGCTTGCTGCCTAGACTGGAGTGCAATGTCATGATCTCAGCTTACCGCAACCTCCATCTCCCAGGTTCAAGTTATTTTCCTGCCTCAGCCTCCGAAGTAGCTGGGATTATAGACATGCACCACCACACCCAGCTAATTTTGTATTTTTGGTAGAGTTGGGGTTTCTCCATGTTGGTCAGACTTGTCTTGAACTCCCAACCTCGGGTGATCTGCCCGCCTCAGCCTCCCAAAGTGTTGGGATTACAGGCGTGAGCCACTGCTCCCAGCCTACGTGTTGTTTTCTTATGCCTAAATAATTTATTTGTAGCCAGGAACAGTGTTGTGCACACCTATAGTCCCAGCTACTCAGGAGGCTAAATTGGGAGAACTGCTTGAGCTGAGAAGTTCAAGGTTGTAGTGAGTTATGATCATGCTACTGCACTCCAACATGAGCACCAGAGCAAGTGCCCGTCTCTAAAATAATAATATTTAATAATAAGAGATTGGGGGTGAGGAAGGCTCACACATAGTTGACCCAAGGTTAAAACTGTTGTTGAGTGTTAGAAGACAATGCCCAATTGCAGATACTAGATTTTTTAGAGGAGACACGTGATATTTAGCTAAAATAACCACATAACCGTTACAATATTTGCAAACACAAATTTTTAAAATGCTCTCTCAACAGTAGGTAGTTTGGGTTTGTGGTTTTTTGTCTGTGTGTGTTTTAAGCAGTTACTTTCTCACTCTTCTATACCATGAAGGCAAAGTATATCACTTTAAAAAAAAAATACTTGATAGGCAGTACAGTTATGGCAGCCATTCACAAATTTGGAACACCTGTCTTTGCCTTCCAGAACCCCCACCAAAGACTCAGGGATTTGAAAGACACAAGAAATTACTCCCGGAAGGTGGGAGTAATAAACAATAATGCCCTTGAAATAAAGGTATTATTTGAACTATTTTTTTTTTTTTGCCCTCCCTTTGTAGGCAAGCAGGTATCTCTCTACCAAATAACTGAAGCCTTATTGTCTGGAGAAATTAAACCAAATAGAATTGAGGGCAGGGGGAGGATGGTAGTGGTAGTGATGGGCTATATGAAAGACAAAATGATTGAGAGAATGTCAGTATTCTGAACATTATGAGCCTCCAGTCCACTCTCCACCTGGCTACAGAACCTGGCAACTAGACTTATACCCAGCCCTCTTCATCCCACCCAAAAAGAAGAGCAGTATAAAAAACAGCTTGACACTTGATTATTTGTTACAGTGAAACTGAGAGTCCACAAGCCCTGCTCATTCTTATATAGTTTTCAGTCACTTGAAATCACTATACACAAATAGCCAAGGATCACTATTTGAGGAAAACTTCAACATGAAAGATGATCATAATCTGTGATATTCTCAGAAACAAATATACTGCTTCCATGAAATAGGATCAGGATGCCATTTTAAAAAATGAACAACCCAAAAACAAGAGCAATTGGAAAAACAGGAAAACCAAAATTAAACATTCAGTAGATAAGTTGAAGAAATTTTGAAAAAGAACAAAGAGATGAAAAGTAGGCAAAAACAAAATGAAACTGAAACCTGAATAGGATGCAACATCTAATAAAGAGTTCCAAAATGAGAGAATGGAGAAAGAAGGTGAAGAGAGAAAAAATTAAAGAAAATTTTCTGAAAATATAAGACATTAGTCTCCTAAATTAAAAGGGTCCAC